TAAACTTAATTAACCAAAGTTTTGAAAATTTGATAGTGATTGAGTCACTGACCTGCCCTACCCATTTTAAATTCGAAACCTCAATTTTGAAATATTGAGAGTGAGTGAGTCACTGTCCTTCCGCCGACTTTTAAAATTATAAACGTCAATTTTGAAAATTTGAAAGTTGCTGAGTCACTGACCTGACGTGGTTTGTAAACTTAATAAACCTCTATGTTGAAAATTTGATAGTGAGTGAGTCACTGACCTGCCCTACCCATTTTAAATTAGAAACCTAAATTTTGAAATATTAAGAGTGAGTGAGTCACTGTCCTTCCGCTGACTTTTAAAATTATAAACCTCTATTTTGAAAATTTGATAGTTGGTGAGTCAAAGACCTGCTGTAGTCTGTAAACTTAATAAACCCAAATTTTGAAAATTTGATAGTGAGTGAGTCACTGACCTGCCCTACCCATTTTAAATTCGAAACCTCAATTTTGAAATATTAAGAGTGAGTGAGTCACTGTCCTTCCGCCGACTTTTAAAATTATAAACCTCTATTTTGAAAATTTGATGGTCGGTGAGTCACTGACCTGCCGCGGTTTGTAAACTTAATTAACCAAAGTTTTGAAAATTTGATAGTGAGTGAGTCACTGTCCTCACCTATACAATTAAAATTATACACCAAAATTTTGAAATTTTAAGAAAGAGTAAGTCACTCTCCTGCCGTCGACTTTAACAATTATAATCCTCTATTTTGAAAATTTGATAGTCGGTGAGTCACTGACCTGCCGTGGTCTGTAAACTTATTAAACCAAAGTTTTGAAAATTTGATAGTGAGTGAGTCACTGACCTGCCCTACCCATTTTAAATTCGAAACCTCAATTTTGAAATATTGAGAGTGAGTGAGTCACTGTCCTTCCGCCGACTTTAAAAATTTTAAACGTCAATTTTGAAAATTTGAAAGTTGCTGAGTCACTGACCTGACGTGGTTTGTAAACTTAATAAACCCAAATTTTGAAAATTTGATTGTGAGTGAGTCACTGACCTGCCCTACCCATTTAAAATTAGAAACCTAAATTTTGAAATATTAAGATTGAGTGAGTCACTGTCCTTCCGCCGACATTTAAAATTATAAACCTCTATTTTGAAAATTTGATGGTCGGTGAGTCACTGACCTGCCGCGGTTTGTAAACTAATTAAACCAAAGTTTTGAAAATTTAATAGTGAGTGAGTCACTGACCTGCCCTACCCATTTTAAATTCGAAACCTAAATTTTGAAATATTAAGAGTGAGTGAGTCACTGTCCTTCCGCCTACTTTAAAAATTCTAAACGTCAATTTTGAAAATTTGAAAGTTGCTGAGTCACTGACCTGACGTGGTTTGTAAACTTAATAAACCCAAATTTTGAAAATTTGATAGTGAGTGAGTCACTGTCCTCACCTATACAATTAAAATTATACACCAAAATTTTGAAATATTAAGAAAGAGTAAGTCACTCTCCTGCCGTCGACTTTTACAATTATAAACCTCTATTTTGAAAATTTGATAGTCGGTGAGTCACTGACCTGCCGTGGTCTGTAAACTTATTAAACCAAAGTTTTGAAAATTTGATAGTGAGTGAGTCACTGACCTGCCCTACCCATTTTAAATTCGAAACCTCAATTTTGAAATATTGAGAGTGAGTGAGTCACTGTCCTTCCGCCGACTTTAAAAATTTTAAACGTCAATTTTGAAAATTTGAAAGTTGCTGAGTCACTGACCTGATGTGGTTTGTAAACTTAATAAACCTCTATTTTGAAAATTTGATAGTGAGTGAGTCACTGACCTGCCCTACCCATTTTAAATTAGAAACCTAAATTTTGAAATATTCAGAGTGAGTGAGTCACTGTCCTTCCGCTGACTTTTAAAATTATAAACCTCTATTTTGAAAATTTGATAGTTGGTGAGTCAAAGACCTGCTGTAGTCTGTAAACTTAATAAACCCAAATTTTGAAAATTTGATAGTGAGTGAGTCACTGACCTGCCCTACCCATTTTAAATTCGAAACCTCAATTTTGAAATATTAAGAGTGAGTGAGTCACTGTCCTTCCGCCGACTTTTAAAATTATAAACCTCTATTTTGAAAATTTGATGGTCGGTGAGTCACTGACCTGCCGCGGTTTGTAAACTTATTAAACCAAAGTTTTGAAAATTTGATAGTGAGTGAGTCACTGTCCTCACCTATACAATTAAAATTATACACCAAAATTTTGAAATATTAAGAAAGAGTAAGTCACTCTCCTGCCGTCGACTTTAACAATTATAATCCTCTATTTTGAAAATTTGATAGTCGGTGAGTCACTGACCTGGCGTGGTCTGTAAACTTATTAAACCAAAGTTTTGAAAATTTGATAGTGAGTGAGTCACTGACCTGCCCTACCCATTTTAAATACGAAACCTCAATTTTGAAATATTAAGAGTGAGTGAGTCACTGTCCTTCCGCCGACTTTTAAAATTATAAACCTCTATTTTGAAAATTTGATGGTCGGTGAGTCACTGACCTGCCACGGTTTGTAAACTTAATTAACCAAAGTTTTGAAAATTTGATAGTGAGTGAGTCACTGTCCTCACCTATACAATTAAAATTATACACCAAAATTTTGAAATATTAAGAAAGAGTAAGTCACTCTCCTGCCGTCGACTTTTACAATTATAATCCTCTATTTTGAAAATTTGATAGTCGGTGAGTCACTGACCTGCCGTGGTCTGTAAACTTATTAAACCAAAGTTTTGAAAATTTGATAGTGAGTGAGTCACTGACCTGCCCTACCCATTTTAAATTCGAAACCTCAATTTTGAAATATTGAGAGTGAGTGAGTCACTGTCCTTCCGCCGACTTTAAAAATTTTAAACGTCAATTTTAAAAATTTGAAAGTTACTGAGTCACTGACCTGACGTGGTTTGTAAACTTAATAAACCCAAATTTTGATAATTTGATAGTGAGTGAGTCACTGACCTGCCCTACCCATTTAAAATTAGAAACCTTAATTTTGAAATATTAAGATTGAGTGAGTCACTGTCCTTCCGCCGACTTTTAAAATTATAAACCTCTATTTTGAAAATTTGATGGACGGTGAGTCACTGACCTGCCGCGGTTTGTAAACTTAATTAACCAAAGTTTTGAAAATTTGATAGTGAGTGAGTCACTGTCCTCACCTCTACAATTAAAATTATACACCAAAATTTTGAAATATTAAGAAAGAGTAAGTCACTCTCCTGCCGTCGACTTTTACAATTATAATCCTCTATTTTGAAAATTTGATAGTCGGTGAGTCACTGACCTGCCGTGGTCTGTAAACTTCTTAAACCAAAGTTTTGAAAATTTGATAGTGAGTGAGTCACTGACCTGCCCTACCCATTTTAAATTCGAAACCTCAATTTTGAAATATTGAGAGTGAGTGAGTCACTGTCCTTCCGCCGACTTTAAAAATTTTAAATGTCAATTTTGAAAATTTGAAAGTTGCTGAGTCACTGACCTGACGTGGTTTGTAAACTTAATAAACCCAAATTTTGAAAATTTGATAGTGAGTGAGTCACTGTCCTCACCTATACAATTAAAATTATACACCAAAATTTTGAAATATTAAGAAAGAGTAAGTCACTCTCCTGCCGTCGACTTTTACAATTATAATCCTCTATTTTGAAAATTTGATAGTCGGTGAGTCACTGACCTGCCGTGGTCTGTAAACTTATTAAACCAAAGTTTTGAAAATTTGATAGTGAGTGAGTCACTGACCTGCCCTACCCATTTTAAATTCGAAACCTCAATTTTGAAATATTGAGAGTGAGTGAGTCACTGTCCTTCCGCCGACTTTAAAAATTTTAAACGTCAATTTTGAAAATTTGAAAGTTGCTGAGTCACTGACCTGACGTGGTTTGTAAACTTAATAAACCTCTATTTTGAAAATTTGATAGTGAGTGAGTCACTGACCTGCCCTACCCATTTTAAATTAGAAACCTAAATTTTGAAATATTAAGAGTGAGTGAGTCACTGTCCTTCCGCTGACTTTTAAAATTTTAAACGTCAATTTTTAAAATTTGATAGTTGCTGAGTCACTGACCTGATGTGGTTTGTAAACTTAATAAACCTCTATTTTGAAAATTTGATAGTGAGTGAGTCACTGTCCTCACCTATACAATTAAAATTATAAACCAAAATTTTGAAATATTAAGAGCGAGTGAGTCACTGTCCTTCCGCCGACTTTTAAAATTATAAACGTTTATTTTGCAAATTTGATAGCTGGTGAGTCACTGACCTGCTGTGTACTGTAAACTTAATAAACCAAAATTTTGAAAATTCACAGTGAGTGAGTCACTGCCCAGCACTATGCATTTTAAATAAGAAAACTAAATACTGAAATATTATGAGCGGGTGAGTCACTTTCCTGCCACCGACTTTTAAAATTATAAACCTTTTTTTTTGAAAATTTGATATTCGGTGAGTCACTGACCTGCCGTGGTCTGTAAACTTAATAAACCTAAATTTTGAAAATTTGATAGTGAGTGAGTCACTGTCCTGCCCTACACAATTAAAATTATACACCAAAATTTTGAAATTTTAAGAGTGAGTGAGTCAGTGACCTGCCACCAACTTTTATAATTATAAACGTCTATTTTATTTTGAAAATTTGATAGTTGGTGAGTCACTGACCTGCCGAGGTATGTAAACATAATAAACCAAATTTTAAAAAATTTGATCTAGAGTGAGCCACCGTCCTGCTCTATACAATTAAAATTATTAACCAAAATTTTAAATTTAAAGAATTTTTAAAAACTTTTAAAATTATAAACGTCTATTTTGAAAAATTGATAGTTGTTGAGTCACTGACTTACCGTCTATAAACATAATAAAACTTTTCACTCCCAATGGATGAAACGCAAATATCGATTTCAGTCTTCAAATTTTGTGTTATTTTTAATTTAAGAATATAAAATCATACATTGCTTATTAAGTGCTTAAAATTAAAATCAAATTGCAGGACGTGGCCAAAGGTATAAGCGAGCTGCTCGCCTACGAAGGAAATGTGGAGGAGGATATGTGCATGTCTTTTGAAGTGTCCTTGGAAGAATATGGGTCCGAAAATGCACGTGACCAACGAAAACAGGGCGGAGTTTGTGGCCTTGTACTTGGACTGGGTGCTGAATGCGTCCATTTACCGGCAATTCCGAGCTTTCTATCTTGGCGTTTGCGCCTCTAATGCATTAATTAATTGTAAATTGCAAAAATTTTCTTTCAATAAACTTTAGTAAAAAAAAAAATACAAATCACAGCTTCTTCGACCTGAGGAGGTGGAGCTGCTTGTTTGCGGCTCTCCGACAGTCGATTTGGCAGAGTTGAGAAAAGTGACAGAGTATGATGGTTATCGACCTGATGATCTGATAATAAGGTAATTGATTTAACCATTTTTATGTTCATCAAGTAATTTACTTTTTTATAGCAATTTGTGGGACGTACTTGAATCACTCGGCCCGGATATGCAAAGAAAATTTTTACTTTTTGTCACCGGAAGTGATCGAGTGCCCGTGGGCGGAACGGGAGAGATGACTTTTAAAGTGACCAGGTCAAGTGGCAACGTTGAGGACCTCCCTGAAGCTCACACTTGCTTCAATCAGTTGGTGCTACCAGCGTATCCCAGCAAAGTGATATTAATTAAAAAACTGACAATTGCTATAGCAAACGCAGAAGGATTTGGTTTGGAATAACGAGTGATATTAATAAAATTTTAATTTGTTTTAATATTATTGCTACTTATTTAAATAAAGTTTTGCAATTATTGTCTGTTTATCCTTTAGTTATTGCTGTTTTTCCTCAATTAATATTGAAAGTAGTCTTGCGTCTATTAGAAATAAATTGAGAGGCATATTTTTGCATTGCACCCTCTTACTTGGAACTGCTCCGATGAGTCTTGTTGAGCCAAGTCTTTGCTGCCAGGAAGCCATTGGCAATGCTCTTCATGCTACTTCCTGGTTGAGAGGCAACAAAACCATCACCAGAGAAAAAGCTCTCCATCTGCAACTAATTTATTAATTAGCAATTTACAAACAAGAAAACTTATGGATTTTTACTTTAAATTTAGAGTTGACCAACTGAGCAGCAGGACGAAGGACATCGAAGATGCTCTCAAAGGGGGGGCCTTGGATATGCCCCTCCAGTTCAGAAATGGGGTGGTGGCTTGAGATGCGCCACTCATCGTTGGAAAAGAAGTTTCCCTTCAGAAAGAAACGCTCCCTTGCAACAACTCCAGGTCCTCTCGGCTGAAAAGAAAATTCATTTCAAGTGTCTCAAAATGAATACAAGGAAATTTTCAATCAAAAACATTTACTCAAAGTTTTAAGCAAATTATAAAATTATTTAATTTTTACAACAGATTTGTATTGATTAACAGTTATTTGATGAAATCTTTATAAATTTGAGTCCTGTAGATTTAGAGCAAAATTTTGTTTTTCATAATATATATAATATATATTGTCACACAAAGTATTTTGATATAATCTTCAAAAATTGAGTTATCAAACGATTATAATGATGAAATCCTAATTTCTCAACGGAAATTGCATAATAGACCTCTGCAAATGACACTGTATAATAATTGTTAATCAAAATCCCTTCTTCAGATATTTAGCTGATGCGATTTTTTTGAAAAAAGTTTGTTTCAAGCTGTTCGCCTACATCAACTATGACACGCGCTTAATTCTACACTCACTTTTCCATTTTCCCAGCAAGAAATGATGCAGACAGCAGGCGCCGGTGCTTCATACACAACCGCACCTGGTCCGTGCATGGTTCCATCTTTCCAACCACCGATGTAAAGGGCGCCAGGGTATTTCAGGATGCCTGTGGTGTCGTCTCGAAGGCCAGACTTCCACAGGCCACAGTACTCCTGGCCGTTGGCAAAAAGCATGACTCCTTGTCCGTGGCGTTTGTCTTTTTCCCAAAAGCCTGAGATATTTTGACAATTTAATTCATACATAATTAAAAAGCTTTGATTGGCAAACCTTTGTATTCGGAGCCATCAGAGTATTTGAAGGTGCCGAATCCACTGCGCATTCCTTCGCTCCACTCGCCCTCGTAACTGGCCAGCACGTTGCCCTTCTTTGTGACTTTGTAGGTGCCAAGACCTTGTCGCAGACCATGGACGTACTGGCCCTCATAAGTGTCTTTACTGGGCAGAACCGTCTTTCCATCTCCGTGTCTTTGGCCAAGTTCATTTCTCTCGCCTACGTAAGTCTGGATGTGAGGAAAATAAAGATCATTAAAGTAATAAATAATTATGTTGAAATATATTATGTTTGAGCAAAGTGAAAATTCGCGTCGGTGAATTCAGGAATTCAACTTCCAAGACTGCAAAGTTGAATTTTTTGCTAGAGAGACAAACTCTCAGCCAAGCTCTCAGCACGGACTTACTCCAAGGAAGTTGGTGTTCTCGTCGCTATCATCTCCAGACTCGTCAGACATTTGAATTAACAACTTTAAAGCAAAATATCCGGAAATAGAGCTCCAAGTCACTCGTGAAAATTCAAATTTCTGTTACAACAATGACCAATTTGGCAAGAATTATGGATATTCTAATATCCATAGCAAGAATAAATTATTTGAATGATTTAATTTTTTTTTAAACTTGTGGAGGGTTTCGTAATAATTATATATTATACTGCTATTAACAATGGTCTAATTGGCAAAGAAGTCTCTTGAGATTTGACCATGAATTATTGAGAGTCGCTTTAATTCTCAACGCAGTAAAAAAATCAATCTGCTTTTAAAAACACGCAAAAAAAATATACACATATATGATTTACGGAGAACAGAAATTAAAATTAATTCAAACTAGCATAAACATAAAATTTGCATGATAACGATGGACGTTTGACAAAATCCACAAAACAATTATAGAGAAATTAACTCATTGATCTCGCCACTCTTTTCGTAATCGAAATGAATCCAAGGCACATAACATACATACATACATATACACATACATAAAATACCTAATACCAATAAGACCTTAATACCTATACCAGATATCTCTTTTCTTTTAGCGAAATAAAGTCCCTCTCGAAACTCGACAACATTTTGCGGATATTCTCCTTTCTCCTCGCAGTTGAAATTTGAGACACTTTGTATACATAATTGATGAGACTGAGTGAGACTTTGCGAGCATGAGCACTTCTTGAGCATTATAGTTCTACTATATTATATAAAATATAATATATCTCTATATTCTATATACCTCTTATTAATTATATTTATATCTCTATTGAGCATGAGAGCAAGGACTAAGGAGCAAGCACACAGGGCCCAGGGGCTCCTTGCTCCTTGCACAGGGGGTTCGGAGAAGGGGTGGGTGACGGTGATGGCCAGAGCCATCTAGCATCGCCAGCGGAGAATTTATTTTGTCAACAAAGATAGCAGGCGATAAAAATGACTTTATGTACAACCTCTTATATATTCGCAGCTTATTCCTTATTATCCTTAGGGCAATGTTCCCCAATCTACCTTTGCGTATGAATCAAATTTATTTTCCTCTTGCCTTTTTCTCTTACTAAAAAATCTCGTTTATTATTTTTATATCAGTCAGATGTGAATACATTATAACATTTTTTCAGACTTCGGAGGGCGAGAGAAATGCGCTTAGCCAAAGACACGGAGAATGAAAGGCGCAATAAGGACACGTATGAGGGCCAGTTTTCTCTTGGTCAGAGGCAAGGTCTTCCGGATATTTCGCTTTAAAGTTGTTAATTAAAATTTCTGACGAGTCCAGAGATGAGAGCGACGAGAACACCAGCTTCCTTGGAGTAAGTCCGTGCTGAGAGCTTGGCTGAGAGTTTGTCTCTCAAGCAAAAAAAATTCGACTTTGCAGTCTTGAAAAGTGAATTTACGGACGCGAATTTTCACTTGGCCCAATTATTGAACTTAAACTTATTTTTTAATTTCATTATCTTTTATATTCACATATATCCAGGCGAGAGAAATGAGATTGGCCAAGGACACGGAGATGGAAAGACGGTTCTGCCTAGTTAAGAGTGTTAAGACACTTATGAGGGCCAGTATGTACATGGTCTGAGGCAAGGTCCTGGCACCTACAAAGTCTCGCAAAGAAGGGCAAGGCAACTATGAGGTCAAGAGTGGAGCCAGGGAATGCGCTGTGAATTTGGCACCTTCAATTACTCTGATGGTTCCAAATACAAAGGTTGCTATAATTAAAATTTTTAATTATTTGTGAATTAAATTGTCAATATTTTTCGTAGGCTTTTCGGCAAAAGACCAATTGCGCTGCTGAGGAGCCATGCTTTTCCAAATTCAAGATAACTGTGGACTGGGGAATTCTGGCCTTCGAGACGACACCTCAGGCAACTTGAAATACCCTACATTCATAAAGAAGGCAATGTGCTGGCCAAAACTATAAGGGCAAGTGGAGCAAAGGAATGTGCAGTGGATTTGACACCTTTAAATACTCTTATGGCTCCAAATATATGATTGTAAACTCAAGTGCACTAAATTTATTTTATTTCTGACTAACTATAAGTAATTTCAGGCTTTTGGGAAAAAGACAAACACCATGGCCGAGACGAGTTATGCTTTTTGCCAACGGCCAGGAGAACTGTGGCCTGTGGAGTGGAAGTCTGGCCTTCGAGACTGCACCACAGGCATCCTGAAATACCCTGGCGCCCTTTACATCGTGGTTGGAAAGATGGAACCATGCACGGACCAGGTGCGGTTGTGTATGAAGCACCGGCGCCTGCTATCTACGTCTTTTCTGGCATGGTAGCATGGAAAAGTGAGTGCACTAGTGCAGAAAAAAGCACCTTTTAAAACTTACAATCAGCTCACTTGAATTCACTGACATGAATTTGCACGCCGCATAATTATGCAGCAACAAATTTTTTTAATTGACTTTTGTATCCAAGTTCAGACTAACAATTGCAAGAGAAATGATTTTGGTCAAAGACATGGAGAAGGAAAGGTCCAATAAGAAAGCTAGTGGCGGTAAGTGGCCAGTTTTACTCCTGTGGTCTGAGTGAGGCAAGGTCTCGGTACCTACAATAAATTTACAAAGAAGGCAACGTCCTGGCCAACTATAAGGGCAATTGGAGCGAAGGAATGTGCAGTGGATTTGGCAGCTTCAAATGCTCTGATGGCCCCAAATATAAAAAGTTTTGTAACCTTGTAAACTCTTGTGCACTAAATTTATTTTATTTTCTGACAAAGTTATTTAAGGCTTTTGGGAGAAAGACCAATGCCGGGAATGGAGAGTCGTGCATTTTTCCAACGGCCAAGAGTACTGTGGCCTGTGGAAGGCTGGCCTTCAAGACAACACCACAGACATCCTGAAATACCCTGGCGCCCTTTACATCGGTGGTTGTAAAGATGGAACCATGCACGGACCAGGTACGGTTGTGTATGAAGCACCGACGCCTGCTGTCTGCGTCATTTCTTGCTGGGAAAATGGAAAAGTGGTTGTAGAAGAAAGCGCCTGTCAAAATTGATGTAGGCAAACTGGTAAACAGCTGGAAGCAAACTTTTCTCAACAAATCTCATCAGCTAAATATCTGAAGAAGGTATTTTGATTAACAATTATTATACAGTGACATTTGCATCGGTCTTTTATGCTATTTTTATTGAGACATTACGATTACATCATTATAATATTTTAATGATGACTGAATTTAAGAAGATTAACAATACTTTTTATGAAAATATAAGAGAAACTAAATTTTGCTCGCTCAAAATTTACAGGACTACAATCTATAATCAAGTAGCTGTTAATCAATACAAATCTTCTTGTGAAAATGAAATAATTTTTATAATATGCTGCAGACTTAGAGTAAACGTTTTTGATTAAAAATTTTCCTAGTGGATTCCTTTTGAGACGCTTGATTATTGATTATAATTTTTTTTATAGCCGAGAGGACGGAGTTGTTGCAAGGGAGCTTTACTTTCTGAAGGGAAACTTCTTTTTTAACGATGAGTGGCGCATCTCAAGCCACCACCCCATTTCTGAACTGGAGGGGCATATCCAAGGCTCCCCCTTTAAGAGAATCTTTGATGTGCTTCGTCCTGCTGCTCAGATGGTCAAATCTAAATTTTAAGTATGCATTCAAAAGTTTTATTGTTTATTAATTGCTAATTTTAAATTTGTTCCAGATTGAGAGCTTTCTTCTTGTGGTGGTTTGCTGCCCCTTCAAGACACATATTATTGAGAAGCAGGCGCAGTGACCACCTGTGCTTTTTGAGTTCCTTCCGAAAGGAGGAGGATCAGTACCAGTACCCAAAAAAAAGGTTGAATTAAAAAACATGTTTTTTTTTATTTTTTTAAAATATATCAAGTTAATTTATGCATCATTTATTTGTATCTTATCAATATTTCATTTGTCCTGTTAACTTAGATTTAAAGCACTACTCATTGAGACACAAAGCAAAAAAATTTTAAGTTTTGTTGAATGAAATTTGTTGATGTAAAAAACTAAGGGGGGTTGCTCAATGGACAGGCCTCACTGGTTGGATATCGGTGCTAATGTGTTTTGAGTGGCACCCAGGTACGGGGCAAAACGCTCGACGGGCTTCCCCAACATGGGCCATATCCATGTCTAATATGACTTCTCGGCAACCTCCACAGACACCGAGATGTCGGCAGTTCTTGAAAATGTAGGTTGCCTCTTCCATGTGGCACCTCATGCAGTGCAGAATTGACGGCTGCACTGACCTCTCGGCGCGGAGCAGGAACTCCCTGAACATTGTGGCCATGTAATTCTTGTCTAAAACAATAAAATGACACATAAAGCAAAAATATTTGACAAATTTAAAAATCATGTCATAAATTTAGCAACATAAAAAAAAAAATATTTCAACAAAACAACAGTTAAATTTAAAAAAAAAAAAGTCTTCCAGAATTTACAATTTAGATAAAGTCTTTAAATCGAAAATGGGCGAGCATTAAGATACCGCGGTCAACAATGCACCGCGGTGCATTGTTGCAATAATACTTATGAAAAAAAATAACTAACTGCCAAATTAAACACAACATTGTTTATGAGCCCTATGCTTTTTGATTAAAAATTTCAGTACTTTTGATTGCCTTACCCCATTTGAGGTCGACCCTGAAGCCGTTGGCCATGAGCAGCTGTACAAGTCGAGGCTTGCTCAGAGTGGTCAGGTAAGCCAAAGTAGGCACCTCTTCTCCTTGAAGAATTTCATCGATTTCCTCACATCCAGATGTTTTAAGCACCTAAAATTTGATAAAAATGGTCATTTTCACTATGACTGCACAAAAAGTAAACTTAATACTTTCTGAAAGTTATTTTTCTGTTGTTTATGTAGTAAAATTATTAACACAAAATATAATTACCGGGGCACCAGCATTATTTGCTTGAGCTTGCATGGTGTTTCAAATATGGATGTGCGCACCGATGTCCGTGTCCGAAGAGATCCTACGATTTTGACAGTGACCTAAAAGTTGCTGTGTGAATGCTTATAACAAAGATATTTTTGTGTCTAAGTCTGAATTTTGAAATTTTTTAGCTAGCACGAATTATTTATTTAGTTAATTGCTAATCCTTTCCCCTCCCTCAAAATTTTGTTTGACTTTTATTTGACTTATTAAGAAGAAACGAAAAAGTTATAAAATTATGCTAAAAGCATGCAAACATCAGTTCTTTAAAAATAAATTACATAACCGACATAAAATAGTTGACAAAGAAGAAAAGATCAACAAAAGAGAATTATTACACTTGGGCGTGGCAGAGGGTTGTTTTTAGTTTATATTTTGTGCAAATAGTAAAAACGCAGGATTCAAGAATTATATGCAACTCGACAAAGTTTGTGAAATTAAAAATGATATGAATTAAATAAGCCCGCGCTTTGTTATACGTTTTAAAAATGTTTTGGGAATTGAAATACACGTTTTAATTTGAAAATGCTTGTGTGTTTATACAGCGTGTGTCAAAAGTCAACTACCAAAAGTATTTTACAGCCATTTTTCAACGAGTTGAGATATAAAAAATTGAGTTTTTTCGACGACAGCGGTTGCAGAAAAACTGTCAAAAGATTTTCGTGGATCCAATTGATGCAATTATAGAAGTTTGCGAAAAATTCAAAATGAAATTGGGCTCTTATGGGAAATCCATATCATCCATGTAATTTTTTTTTTACTTTTTTTACAATTTGAGCAAAAGTTACCCAAAGCAGCAGTGTATTAATTGGCCAGCGTCAACTGATCAAAATCATAATTAATACGATGAAAGACCACGATTTGAGGTTTCCTAAAATAAATAGGTTTACCCCGATACCTCAAATTTTCGGGTTTTTCGGGACGCTCAAATTTGTGTTTTTGAAATATGTTTAAACGGCTGTATCTCGGCTTCCCATGCATGGTCGTAGAACGAAAATCCAGGGGAGCCCCCTTTTGTCCCTAAATTTATTTCCCCTAATGAATTTTTTCTGTATTTCCCCTAAATTATTATCCCTGAAATCTTTTTTTTATTTCTTCTAAACTCCATTTCCCCTAAATATTTTGGAAATAATTAAAAATTACATTTTTTCATAATATTTGACGATTTAATTCATCTTTTGGTAACAAATTATATATTTTTAAAATATTTTGATCAGTAGAATCAGTCAGAATATTGGAACTTGTATTTTAAGCGTAACTTTCTCTGTGGTATTCCAAGGAAGACTACATTATATTTTGCTCCGTTTTTCCAGTTTCAGGTAAAATATATATATACAATTTTTTCAATTTTAGGGACAATAATTTTAGAGGCATTGCTATTTAGGGGAAATGCAAGAAAAAGTTTAGGGAAAATGGTTTTAGGGGTTTTAATTTTTGGGGAAATGAAGAAATTTTTTTCCCCTAAAACCAAATTCTTCATTTCCCCTAAAATTAAAACCCCTAAAACCATTTTCCCTAAACTTTTTCTTGCATTTCCCCTAAATAGCAATGCCTCTAAAATTATTGTCCCTAAAATTGAAAAAATTGTATATTATATTTTACCTGAAACTGGAAAAACGGAGCAAAATATAATGTAGTCTTCCTTGGAATACCACAGAGAAAGTTACGCTTAAAATACAAGTTCCAATATTCTGACTGATTCTGATCAAAATATTTTAAAAATATATAATTTGTTACCAAAAGATGAATTAAATCGTCAAATATTATGAAAAAATGTAATTTTTAATTATTTCCAAAATATTTAGGGGAAATGGAGTTTAGGAGAAATAAAAAAAAGATTTTAGGGATGGTTGAACTTGGTCTCGACACCTTCTTTAACTTTTCTGTATGACGAAAAATTGTAGATCACGGGTCAAGGTCACTTCCAGTAACCTCGTGGTCTTTGACCTCAAATTTGTCGGTTAGCTGAAAGTTTTTTTCAAAAATCTGAGGTAGCCAGTTGGTAGAGCGTGAAATTTTACATAAAATAGGATATAAGTCAATAACAAAAAAAATAGATAATTTGTTAACTTTATAAAAATGAAAAATAAAAAGTCCATCTGAAGACGTCAGTCCTTATGAATTTAAATAATATAATAATGAGGAATAATCATGGATGTGAAAAAGTCCGTAGGTCTGTAGATCACGATTCCGGTATCCAAGACGATGAAGATGAAATAAATTGTGACAATTGCAGATTTAAAAAGTTTAAATGAACTTTCGTTCCAGTGTACAATTCATTAACGACAAAAAAATATCCAAGGTAATCGTGAATTTGAGCTATTCTGTAGGTATCTCGTCTTTAGTCCGGATTCCAGAATGCTAGACGATACATTTGACATAAATTGTGACAATCGCGAATTTAAAAAATACAAAAGGACTTTCGTCTCTTATCAGTTTTCCGGTGTACAGTTCAATACGAATAAAAAAATTTTCAAGCTTTTCGTGATTTTGACAAATTTCCTTGGTCTCTCGTGTATAGCCCGGATTCCGGTATCCTAGACGATGCTGAGGAAATAAATTGTGACAATCGCAGATATAAAAAATACAAAAGGACTGTCGTCTATTGTCCGGATTCCAGAATGCTAAACGATGCAGTTGAAATAAATTGTGACAATCGCGAATTTTAATTATACAAGAGGACTATCGTCTACAATCGGTATTCCGGTGTACATTTCAATACCATTAAAAGATTATTCAAGCTAATCGTGAATTTGAAAAATTCCGTAGGTCTTTCGTCTATAGCCCGGAATCCGGTATCCCAGACGATGCAGTTGAAATAAATTGTGACAATCGCGAATTTTAAATATACAAGAGGACTATCGTCTACAATCGGTATTCCGGTGTACAATTCAATACCAATAAAAAATTTTTCAAGCTAATCGTGAATTTGAAAAATTCCGTAGGTCTTTCGTCTATAGCCCGGAATCCGGTATCCCAGACGATACAGTTGAAATAAAATGTGACAATCGCGAATTTAAAAAATACAAAAGGACTTTCGTCTCTTATCAGTTTTCCGGTGTACAGTTCAATACCAATAAAAAATTTTTCAAACTTTTCGTGATTTTGACAAATTTCCTTGGTCTCTCGTCTATAGCCCGGATTCCGGTATCCTAGACGATGCTGAGGAAATAAATTGTGACAATCGCAGATATAAAAAATACAAAAGGACTGTCGTCTATAGTCCGGATTCCAGAATGCTAAACGATAGTTGAAATAAATTGCGACAGTTGCGAATTTTAAATATACAAGAGGACTATCGTCTACAATCGGTATTCCGGTGTACAGTTCAATACCAATAAAAAATTTTTCAAACTTTTCGTGATTTTGACAAATTTCCTTGGTCTCTCGTCTATAGCCCGGATTCCGGTATCCTAGACGATGCTGAGGAAATAAATTGTGACAGTCGCAGATATAAAAAATACAAAAGGACTGTCGTCTATAGTCCGGATTCCAGAATGCTAAACGATGCAGTTGAAATAAATTGTGACAATCGCGAATTTTAATTATACAAGAGGACTATCGTCTACAATCGGTATTCCGGTGTAAATTTCAATACCATTAAAAGATTATTCAAGCTAATCGTGAATTTGAAAAATTCCGTAGGTCTTTCGTCTATAGCCCGGAATCCGGTATCCCAGACGATGCAGTTGAAATAAAATGTGACAATCGCGAATTTAAAAAATACAAAAGGACTTTCGTCTCTTATCAGTTTTCCGGTGTACAGTTCAATACCAATAAAAAATTTTTCAAGCTTTTCGTGACTTTGAAAAATTTCCTAGGTCTCTCGTCTATAGCCCGGATTCCGGTATCCTAGACGATGCTGAGGAAATAAATTCTGACAATCGCAGATATAAAAAATACAAAAGGACTGTCGTCTATAGTCCGGATTCCAGAATGCTAAACGATGCAGTTGAAATAAATTGTGACAATCGCGAATTTTAATTATACAAGAGGACTATCGTCTACAATCGGTATTCCGGTGTACATTTCAATACCATTAAAAGATTATTCAAGCTAATCGTGAATTTGAAAAATTCCGTAGGTCTTTCGTCTATAGCCCGGAATCCGGTATCCCAGACGATGCAGTTGAAATAAAATGTGACAATCGCGAATTTAAAAAATACAAAAGGACTTTCGTCTCTTATCAGTTTTCCGGTGTACAGTTCAATACCAATAAAAAATTTTTCAAGCTTAATTTTGCTTTTCGTGACTTTGAAAAATTTCCTAGGTCTCTCGTCTATAGCCCGGATTCCGGTATCCTAGACGATGCTGAGGAAATAAATTCTGACAATCGCAGATATAAAAAATACAAAAGGACTGTCGTCTATAGTCCGGATTCCAGAATGCTAAACGATGCAGTTGAAATATATTGTGACAATCGCGAATTTTAATTATACAAGAGGACTATCGTCTACAATCGGTATTCCGGTGTACATTTCAATACCATTAAAAGATTATTCAAGCTAATAGCGAATTTGAAAATTTCCCTAAGTCTCGCGTCTAGAGTGAACCCACACTATTTAAAAAAAAGAAATTTAAAAAATACATTAGGACTGTCGACTATAATCGTTAATTTTTTTTTGCTAAGAAGTTACTTTTGAGACGTAGAAGGGAAAAATTATTGAAGGCAGCATCACAGTGGTGCTTGGCAGCGCTGCTTACTGCACAGGTTGCGTCAGACCTACCATGGCGGGGTATGGCCCTTTATGGGATGTGGGCCCTCGCAGTCACAAAAGCAAAAAGCCTAAACTGAAATTATGGTTCAGTCTGCACTGAATGGGCCCAATCCAATGGGCCCCTCGAGATTTTTGTTTTGTTTCTCGATATGAAAACACTGTATACTATTTTTTTGCCGCGCACATAATTTTGCTTCACGATGATTATCTTTAATGAATGATTTTTTTATCAGCATCGACAGGGACACCAGAATCCCCTCTGTAGTCGAGAGACCTTCTGAATTTTTCAAATTCACGATTATATTAAATGATATCATCTGCAATGACTGGGATCATACCTGAATCCCGTCTATAAATCACAGACCTTTAGAATGTTTGAATTACATAGTTGTCAAAATTATCCCACTTAATCGCCTGGGATATTGGAATCCTGGCTGTTGACAACAGATCCACGAAATTTTACAAATTAACGATCATCTCCAATGATTTCGTTTGCATTGACTGGGATATCAGAATCATGTCTGTAGACGACAGTCCTATTAAATTCTTGATATTCACAATTGTTCACGTTTATTGACGTTTATCATTAAATATTTTGTCTTTTTTGTCTGGAATACCGTAATCCTGGCGTAATCCAGTCTTTATACTAGAATCCTATGAAATTTAAAAACTCACCACTATCAATGCTGATTTCATTTGGCTTCTGCTGCGTTTCTGGTATCCTGTCTTTTGACCATACAGTCCTATGGAATTTTTTTAGTAATTCGTGATTATTTAGTATTCTTTGTTTCGTCTCAGAAAGTATTTAAGTATTATAGATAAACACAAATTAATAAATATTGTGAAAGTAGATCAATCCAATACTAAATTTGAAATCAAATTGATATTCATGTGTAATTGCAAGATTAATTTAAAAGATGTATGGATTGCAGCAGTTCTTAAAAATTGCTTCATGACCCGGTCAAGTGAAATCATTTTTAATTATCGTAAATTTTGGCAATTCCTATTAGGGACGTCGTCTGCAGACGGGATTCTTTAAACAGTATACCCCGGTACCCCAGTCAAAAATACTCATTTTCAAGAAAAGAATTCCTTTCTTTCCATTCGATGGAATAAAATTGAATATAAATTATATACCTTTTTATAGTTTGAATATTTTAATGAACCGAGGAGAAAAGGTGATTTAAATAAAAATTATTCTTTTTTAATCTATATTTATTTGTGAAATTTTACATTTCTTCTGCCTCAATTTGTAACGATTTTTTTATGTTTTATCATTATTCAAATCAATCAATAATATTGTTTTTTTATTGTGAGGGAGGTCAAGTTTCGTCTATGATATGGGTTCATCAAAAGTTTCCCAATTTCACAAAGGTTGGTAGGTTCCATTTAAGTAAAAAATGATTTAAAGAAGGCAAAAAAAGCGGCCGCTGCTTGTTAGAGGAACTCTTGACATAAACGCTAGAGTTCTAGCGGCCAAGATAGTTTATTTTGGGAGCAGTTGACAGGAATTAAAGCGCAGTAGGGAACGCTTGCTGACAGTCATCCATTTGTGTCTTGCAAAAAAATCAGTTAGGTAAGTCGTCAAATCAAAAGGTCGAAGTGAAAAGCAATTTCCTCTTTGACACGCGCGCTTTTTTCGTTTTCAAAAAGGACATAATACTCGCGATGTCTTCTTAATCCTCAATTAGCGTCCAGTCAGCATGCCAATCAGGGCGGTCTTTTCCTTGTCCTTCTTGCGCACAACCTCCAAGTTGCGCGTCTTCCAGCAGCTTTTCCGCAGCTTGATGGGACGACTTCCAACATAGCGACCTGGAAACAAAACAAAAATTACAAGACTACTCACTGTCAGTCTAGATTATTTATATAGTTGTATGGACTGGAGTGGTGGAATAAAAGCTCAGTTTTCCCTACATGTGTTGTGTGTGGGTGAAAAAGAAATAGCATGTTCTTTGCTGATCTACTCCGAAAGCGATGGGAAAGAAACAGTCTGTTGAGTTCTTGGAAATTGCATGGTTACGAGAAGATAAAATAAGAGAGCAAAGCAAATTTGGTATTTTGCCCTGGCGGGGAATTTCATCACACGTTTCTAATAATTTTTTTATTACATAAAATACCACAAGAACAGAAATTTCCATCATCTTACGTTGGATTCAAGTTTAAGAATATTAATAAAAAAAAAATGCAAATCCATAGACGAGCAAAATCAAGATTGAATCTAAAAACTTTTATAACAGCTTCACAGTTCATATTGAAGCAGAAACGGCCCTTCACACGCGCACACAGCTAGGGAAGAGATAATTCTAGATTTGGGCACCCTTTTTCTCAGAAGTCAGTCAAAGTCTCACTCTCTCGGAAAAGAGATTGAAATCTGTTCATCCGTGGGAGAAAGAATCTTTTGAATCCAATCACTTATCCAAGCTTCAATAGAAATGAAATTTTCTACGCCATTGTCTTTTCCACTTAATAATACAGATAGAAAATTAAGTTCCTTTTAACAAAAAGGAACAAAACGTTTGATAAAACTGTTTACGAACTATGTAATTAAAAAAAATTAAAGATAAATTATGACGAAATGTTCTTTATCACTAATATTTGCAATAAATCAGTAGAAATATATATTTTTTTCCCATCTTGCCCGAATTAGAACAAAAGTGACAAAACGTCATCTCTTATGGAGGACGTCAAGCACAAAACATTTGTGACGTTCTTTTCCGCAAAAAGAAAAAAAAGCAGAACACACACATGTATGCTATTTGCACGCGCGACTTCAAACAAAGCGTTCGGGATTTATTAAAAATTCCAGCTTTGTACAGGGGAAGCTCTTAAGGGGGCGCCAAAAAGCGGCGCAAATTTCATTTCCTGCAAAAATGATCTGAGTGATTAAACTCCAAGTGTGTTTGTAGAAACGGCTTCCCGCCTACGTAATGAAAGCCTTTAGTCGGCCAGATTTGGGATGCGAGATAGGGCGCGTGGCCTCGTGGGTGCGGCAAAAGCAGCAGGGTTTGTTAATGGGCCAATTAACCCCAGGTGATGAACAAATTCAGAAATATCAAAAGCACCATTGAAATATAATGCACTGATATGTTAAAAAATATTATATAAATAAAAAACAGATTTATTTCACTCTGGTAAATAAATGTACATTTCTACTTTTGGTGAAATATGTGTTTCTACAGGTGCTTAAATCACTGACGAATTAGATCATGAAATGTGATACGCCTTGACGTCAATAAAGAATGATTGGGATGTTGGCAGGAAACGACCCAAAAAGGACGATCTTTCCTCCTTTAATTAGACTTCTCTTATCTATGGAGACAGCAGCGGGGGTGAAATGCGAATAGCATCGCTTTGTTTGTTTTTCAAATAAATACAACAGGGGATTAATTTTAGGTGACGAAAATCAGATTCCAAGAAAGGATCGGCTTTACAGGTCCTTATCTTGAAATAGATGAAAAGGTGGAAGTGAAGAAGAAATTGAAATTATTTTATTAAACTTTAAAGTTAAATTACTGCTAAATTAGTATTTTCTTCCGCTTTATTTATCCAGCCAAATTTCAACGATTTAAGTTGAGATTTCTCAAGAGAAAATATTTTCAAATTTCGTTGAAGAATAAACAACGAAATTTTATCTCAGTGTTTGCGATATTTCAAGCGAATGAGTCTATAAAAAACTGACGGTTCCTTCGCTAATGGTCTCCATAAATATTCATCATAAATCACAACAAAAAAGACGCAAAGAAAAGTGAAAATGCTTGCTCTTGGGGAAAAACCGGTGGATTGTTAATGTAACGCAAAAAAGGAAGCTGCCTTGACCTTTCGTGATTCTAAAGCAGCAAAAGAACCGAATTCAATTGCTGAGACCGCCAATAGTAAAAGAGCATCCAACAAAACGAAATTTCATTAAGAAAACAGAAGAAGCGCACATATTCGATTTGAGAAAAGAGGAAATCGGAGAATCGTTCTCCTTTTTTTTTTGGCCAACAGCCGCGAGCTCGTTTTCGACGGCCGATTGGTGTGCGGCGCATACCAAAAGCGGCCGAGGAAGTGTTTGGGAAATGAGATTTTCAGCACCCGGGGCGCGGGTTGGTTTCGACGCCCACGCGATCGCAGGGTGCGGAATACGAATTGCCAGGGTGGTGGACAGGCCGTGGAGGCGCGCGCGATCGCAGCAGCGCCGCCCTTGTCTTGCCCCCAATCTGCCGCCACCCGACCGACATGAAGCACCTGCTGCGCTGCACGCTGCTCCTGATGGCCACTTCGAGTGCCCTCGCTGCCGTCTTGCCCTGCACCTCTACCAACGATTGCCCCGACTACTGGACCCTAGGTAAGCGTTTTTAAAATTGACCTGCTCATTTCAAATTGAAATCAAATTCTAAGATTTTCCGTAGCAAAAATCAGTTCAGAATTTTAAATCTTTACAAAATTTATTTGAAGAGAGGATAACTTTTGTTATCCGTTTAGTTTTTAATTTCATTAAGTTATTATTATTGGTTAAGAGCAAAACATTTTCTCTATGTCCTGATATAAAAATTTTGCAAAAAAGTTCTTCAAAAAATATGAAATTTACCGGTAATTATTATACTATTTTTACTGTGGAATCTTTTTTGAACAGGTGGTATGGTTTTTAAATAAGTTTGGTTTTTTTATTTCATGAAAAGCTTTTTTATTAATTGTGGGCCATTCATCCATACGGCCTGGTTTTTTTTTTAATTTGGGTTAAATATTTCTTCGAAAAATGTGATATTGATAAACCTTGTTATGCTAAATAAATTACAGGAAAAAATCAATTTAAGAAATTGAGTTATTTATTTTGAATCAAATCATTGGAAAAACATTAATTTCATCTCGATTTCACAAATTCTCTGTGATTTATTTTCATTTTGCTATTTTTTTTACCATTTTAATGATGTAAAATATGAGCGAAACTAATTTTACGCCTTTGTGAACAAGCTCTTCATTCGCATTTTTCACATGAATGGAGACTGTGATTCTTCTGAGAATTTTAAAATTACAATATTGATTGCACTTTTTATATGAATATATTTATGTCCACTTTGGCATTTGGCATTGACGTTGCGAGATAAAATTAAAAATTTACAGAATCTAATCTCCAATCAAATTAACGGTTAAATTATTATTTAAGTGCCCCAAAAACAAAGTGATTAAACACAAAATCAAAGAACAACTACCTCAAAAGTAACTTTCTGATGCGGGGGTTGTGCGAAGGTTGCGGGTGCCGTAAACTTTGAATAATTCACAATGAATAGTGGCTTTGGTTGTCCCACACACACATTCAACACTCCCGAGACCTTGCCTTTCATGCGGGCGCATTGGGATTTGTAATGAAGTTTTTAGAGGCTTTGGATTCAAGTCGGGCAAAAGGTAGTGAGATAAAAAAAAATCAACGTGGTGGATGGAAGGAATTTTAAGGCGGAAAGTAAGAGGAAAGTGTTGAACAAAAGTAATTAATGCTGAGAGGTAATTGAGTTTTGTAAGGACCTCGATTTCTTAATTATAATTTTGCTAAAGGATTTTGATGTTTCTCAGCTCTAATGATAATAATGAAAGAGCTGCGTAACAACGTTTGATTAATTCTATTTAATTAATTTACAACAAAGTTACCCTAGAGATTAAATTTCCCTTGCATCCTCCCTTAGAACAAAAGGTAAAAGCAGCCGTTAAATACTTATTTAAAAAAAGAGTTAATTCTTAGAAAATTACTTTGTTCGAGTATGTTTGTGTTGTTTAGTGTAATTTCAGAATCAAGGTTCAGATTTTTAATTGAATTACTGACATTGTGTCAGAAAACCAAAGATTTTTTTTAGAATTCTAGAATATCCTATTGATGGCAAAATTTGGGCTTTTCATTAAAATTCAATTCTCTGTCTGATTATTCCACTGATGCTGATTTTAATTGCTAGTAATGACGAATGAATAAAATTAATTAATTAAAAATTGAAACCAGGCTTAACATTGAGTTTAAAATTTCCCACGAAATCTATATCTTGTTTTAATTTTCAATATAATATGTACAACAATCTATAAGATTTATTGGACTTACAAACTTAAAAGAGTGAAAACGCCCGCATGAAAAAATTAAAATTTATGTTTTAGAGCGAATGCGAGAGCACTTGAATCAGTGTTGGAGGATGGACTGGTGTAGGCGGCTGTTGCGCAAAACCCTGGAAGATTTAAATCAGGAGCACCTGATGGACAGCTTGAGCAACAGCAAGAGGGACGTTTTCACCAGCCGAGGGTGGGCCGCCGGGGGGTTGCCGTCGCACTTCGCCAGTAACAGGAAAAATCAGCAGCAGCAGCCGGAGATGAATACCAACAACCGGCAGCCCCGATTCAGCGCCCTTCAGGGTCTCAACCCAGGCGTCGCCCTGATCGCCGACTCGAGGATATACGAAGAGGACCCTGATGCCAATGAGCAACTGCAGGCCGCCCCCCAAAAGATCACCCAACCAAAGGTGGAAAACAGCACCCACCACAACAAAAACTATTCGGGCCTGCCGCAGTTGTTTGTTTCGTACGGGTGGGGACCCCTGGGGCGGAAGTAAACGATGAATTCATGTTGGCCATTTCAGTTTTGAATGTGAAATTGTCATTATTTTTTTTTAATTTCAGACTCAGACTCTGCTCATCTTTCTGTCACCCTTTCGGCAATAAATGTTCATAGCAACCGAATCTGTTTTTCATTTCACTTGAATTTTAACCAACATAAACATTGTATATAATCCTAAATTAAGGGGCCCAAGAGAGGAATTTTAATGCTTTTTTGGACTCACCATTCATTTCCTTCATGGCCCTGATGAAGTCTTGTGGATCTTTGTAGCTGACAAATCCAAATCCTTTAGTTTTGTTTGATCTCTTGTCACGAATCACTCTAGCTCTTTGGAATGAGGGATACTTGTTAAAAGCCCTAGTAAGGACTTCGTCGGTCACGTCATTACCAAGATCCCCGCAGAAAATACGGAAGTCATCTAAGATTTTAAATCATCATTAATTGGTATCAGAAGTAAAATGGTACATAGTTATTGATTTGAATTCTGTTCAATTTTATATCTTTAATAAATTTAATTGAACTTCAATTATTGCTAAATTTACAATTAGCCACTTTTTCTGGTGTTTTTTGAATTGAAAAAAATAACAATTTACCATCTGGCCAGTCGAGCAGAGATGTGTCCTCCCAAACTTGTCCGCCAGCTTGACGAATGATTCGCTTTCCACCAGCCTTCTCAATTTTCTCCTGTCTCTTTTCTCTCGCCTTCTTATATCCAATTTCGGCCAAGTCGATCGAAGGACCAACGTTTGCTGGCAGCATGTCGTCCTTGTTCTTCTTCTGTACATATAAAAAATTAAATTTACATTACATGTAATAAATAAAAATTACCATAAATCTAGTGATAATGAAAAAAAATAGCTTTCAGTAAAATAAGAATGCAAATCTTAGCAATAGTTATAGAGACTGTAACAAAAAATAAAAAATAGCAGACTCAGGTGTCAATCTCCATGCTGGGTGAGCGAACAAAATTGAAGGCAGGCCAGCATGCCTAAATTGTCCCCTCGTCTTACCATGATGTCTACCTTACGAGCCCTTTTTGCTTGTGGGAGGCCTTTGATGTCCATAGGCAAGGGTGCCGGTTTCTTCAAGGCTGGAGGCATGACCTGCACAGAGGGTGGAGGTGGAGTAACGGTAGGCGGCTTGTAGATTTTTGGCGTTGCCCTATAAAAATTGATCAATTTAGAGAAGAGCCGTAAATTAATTTTTCTTTGAAGCTTACGATAAGATTGCTTGGGCGCTGCTTGAAGCGGCAGGTACAGAACTCGGCCGGAAAACTGGAATGAAAATTGTTTTAGTTTAGCAATTAATTTTACTTACGGAGAGCAATTTACTTATTTCATAACCTTAAATATTTAATAAATATTGGTAAATTTAAAATGAAACGATATGGTAGAAAAAGTGCAAAAAATACAATTGAATCAATGAATTCAAATTTTAAATTTTTTTATGGAAAAACTGATTGCTTTTTAAGTTTAAAATTTACCTGGTGGCTTTTGGACCGTAGAGGTTTTATGGACCTGATGTGGTATCAACATTCGAGGCATCGGAGGCGGCGGAACTGCTCCCAAAGCTGGCGGATGTGACGGCCGATGCGGAGGCTTTGAAATCGACGCTGGCCTCGCTCCGATTTCAGCCTCGAACCTGCGAATCGGAACCGGAATTAGTCGGAAATGGGAAATGTGCGTTCATAATATCTCACTGATATTTTCAGGAAGTGAATTTTATAAAGTAAAATTAATTATTGTAATATTTTTGCTAACCTGCTCATCTCGGCCTCCATCATTTGATATTGATTTGCCATTATCGCTGGGCTTCAATAGCCCCTCAATTACACTGGAGAAATATTTAGAGTATCAGATCTTAATGATCGTGAAGAAACTTTTATGAAATTCTAATAGTCGCAGCAATTGTTATGCTTTAAAATGATTTTTTGTAAAACTTCTGGCTGCTTCCAAAATCAAAACATTGACCGACATCAAGAAATTTCCTTGGTGGCATGCCAATGACATCTCACGGATGTCTTAAGAACTATATGATATAATAGAATAGATAGAGTATTTATTGAACACAACTAGGTGTACAACGGGTGTCTAAAGCTAATTTGTCTTCCTAAAATTAATTTTACAATTAAGCTTGTTTCGATAATTATTACAAAGTACAAAATTAGTTAATTTTGATTTTTGCAGCCTCTCTTAGGCTTAGTTTTCGTTCATTACATTCAAGAATATGATATTGTGAACATTTCTTACCGCAGTGCTTGCATTCACAATCTATTGTCGCTTGAGAATGAAAATTTTTATTCTTACAAAATAAATAGTGGTACCCGTGACAGGCAAATCTCGTAAACACTTGGCGATCACTGAACATTGCACATTGCCAATTTTTATTCTTCATAGTTTCTGTCTCGTAGAACTCATCACATATCTCAAGTTTGTTTAAATATTTAGACACACAAAATTTCTGGAATGCTTCAGTTTCAGTTAGAGAATATTTTACCTGTAAGTCCGATACAAAGAGATCAGTGTCAACTAATTCATACACAAATCTAGATCTAATATACTTGGACAGTCCTAAAACTCTTTTTAAATATCTTGTTTTGACTTTTTCAAGATTTTCAAAATCAGTCTTTGTTAGGAAAGGCCATATTTCTTCAATGCCGTAGGACGCAATTGGGGAAATTTTTAGATCAAATAGCTTGTGTGCTGTTTCAATGGATAATTGTTTTAGCTCTCGTATATTATAAGTGGCCAGCAATGCAGCTCTTGTTCTTTTTTCAATGTGCTTTCCAAAAGAGATTCCTGATGGTTGAAAAGTAACTCCTAAATATGTAAACTCAGCAACTCTCTCTATTTCAATTCCACCTAAATCTAGGCGGTCACTTAATGCATATTTTCCTAGACCCTTATTTCTAAATTTCATGAATTTGCACTTTTCCAAGTTAAGTTTCAAACTGCGTTTTAACAAAAATTCTTTCATTCTGGCTAAAGCAATTTTCAAGTCACTTAATTTTTCTGAGGTTAAAACAATATCATCTGCATAATAAATGGCTTTCACGTTTGGCAAATCTCGTAGAATATTATTTATATCAGCTAAAGAGTAATTGAACAGAAATGGGGACGTGCATCCCCCCTGTCTTACCCCATTTGATTGTGTAATAAGTTTTGATACTGTTACTCCATCTACTATTCTCAAGAAATTTAAGTCTAAGTTGTGAGCTAAATAATTTAACTCCGTGAACGTTAGCTTCTTGCTTTCTATTAACTTCTTAAAAATAAACGCCCTATCTATTGAGTCAAAAGCTTTACTTACATCCAAAAATAAGGCATATAAGGGTGATTTCTTCTTATAAACTGTCTCTTGAATGTTATTAACTAAGGACTTAATTGCCTGTAAAGTGGATTTTCCTTTCACAAAACCATATTGATTGCCTGGAATCTCGTGAATCAAAGATGAGTAGATACGTGCATGCAGTACACGATCTAACAGATTGTAAAAAGCCGAACTAATACATATTCCTCTATATGAATTTGTATTTTCCGCGTCCCCTTTTCCCTTATACAAGAGTTTTAGATTTGACTGCCTCCATTCCTCTGGACATGTTCCTAGCTCCAAGCATTTGGTGAAAAATTGCGTTATTTCGGGGAGTAAGGATTCAACAAGTAGTTTAATATTTTCATTCTTCACTTTGTCAGGTCCAGGGGATTTCCCGTTTTTCATTTTCTTTAATGCTAACAAAACTTCTTCTTCCATAATAGGTGAAAAATTTATATCATTTCTGTAATCTACTATCATCTCTTTCAGATTTAACGATTCATTTTCACTCAATTTTTTCTCGTTGAAAATTTTTTCAAAATTGCACTCCCATTCATCCATCATTATATTGTTTGTATTGTAAAAACTTTTGCTCAACTTGAGAATTTTATAGCACTTATTCTGCTCCGCCTCTTTTAAAATGTCCAACTCCTTCATTTGCACAAAAGCGTTCTTCTTCATTTCACACACATTTTTGTAATTTCTTTTTATTGCGGTATAGTGCGGTAATAGAATCTTGATTATACTAGTTACATTTAAACTTTCAGCCACTTCCAAGCACTCTCTCCATTCGTTCAATTTCTGTTTTAATTCGTAGCATTCAGAATCAAACCACGGTTGACTAATCCGTTCAGTTTGCCTACGAGGAATGTCGGCCTCTTTCATAATATTTATCATATTTTTATAAAACTCTTCAACGTCCCCCTTTTCCAGGTTTGTTCTTAGAATATTTTTATATTTAGTCTCAATAAGCTCTTTAAGTATGTTTTCATCTAATTTAAAATTTTTCTTATTCAAAGACATGTCCCCATTTCTGTTCTTTTGTTTTGTGAAATTAAATTCTATTGAAATAAAATTATGTTTTCTTATGGTTGGGCAAATTTTAAAATTTTCGGTGTAAATTTTTGGCCCTTTGAAGATTAAATCAACCACACTATGACCATTACTACAGTCGTAGGTACTTTTATATGGATATTCATTTACTATTGTCAGACTGTTTTCCTCAGCAAAATCAAGCAGCGAGTCAATTTTTCTGTTTTTAGTATCCAGTCGGCAATTAAAGTCTCCAGCCAAAATGAAATTTTCAAAATTTTCAACATATTTAAGGATTGAGAGAAGTTCATTAGTCACTGTTGTAGAACGTATCTTCGGATTTAAATAGCATGTTACTACTGTAATGTCATCAAAATTTAGAATTATGAAGTTTTCCAAATATTTCACATTTAGTAAATTTCCTAACCTAGAATTAAAATACACGGAAATTCCCCTCATCGGTCGCCCTGCCTCCTTTTGTGAAGCTAAAACTTGCCTTGAATAAAAACCAGGAATGTGAAGTGGTTTCTTTAAAAATGTTTCCGTGAAAAGAAGAATATCATAATTTTGCAGTTCTGTTGCAATCGGAGATTCATATGCTTTCGTAAGCCCTTCACAATTCCAAAGCCCTAATTTTAAGTTACTCACGTCGCTGTTTCGACAAGGGAAATCTATAAAGAAAGTTTCTCACGAGCACCACAGTTGCGCTTGCTTCTCTCCCTGGGTGCAACAGTCTGCGAATTAGGGGCATCATTTAGCTGCTCTCCGTCATCCGGCTTCCCTCCAGTCTCTTCTTCTAAGATATAATAGAATAGACTTTCTAAATGTTGGCGGTCTCCCTTCAGTAGATACGAAATAATACATGCAAAATATTTTTTATTTTTTAGTACCTTTATGTTTCTAATTTAAGATAATAATTATTTCTCTTGAACCTTACATAATACTGTCACTGTCATTTTATTTTTTATTGAATTTATTTTATAAGGGTTTTAAAATATGTTTAAAATAGTATAATAAATAAAAATTTAAATCCAATTTTCTTCTAGTTTTTCTGTTTTTTCTTTTTATTATTATCTTAAGAATAATTTGTAAGGGCATACAGTGTAATTATATAAAAATTAAATTATCTTTCTTAAAATCACTTAAAATATTCAAATTAAAAGTTGAGTACAATACAATAATCAATTGCATTTCCTTGTGGACAGTCAGTTTAAATGTCAATGTTTAATATTTCCACACAAAAATGAGAAATATACTGCACAAAATGAGTATTGCACCAGGTATTTGGGTCATGGTTTCAGTATCTGTACAAACTTAAAAATAAGAGATCCAGAAAAATAGCACTTAAAGTATTGCACAGTTATATAATAACATATTACATTAAATAATCAAGTTTCAGGGATTCAATAAACCCCAGCACTTTTGCTCCTGCTGCTCTTCGAGGGCACATCTGAAGTTTGGGTCTGAGCGTGAAAACTTTTTGCCAGATCTTTGTTTCTCCTGCGTGGCGATTTCTTCTTTGTCTCGGGCTCGAAACTGACCTGGACGCCTATGTCTCTGGTCACTACATTGGCATCAGATTGAGATTCTGCCGAATCTCTGCTGGCCGTGACTTGAGCCACAGTTGTCAGGAATGGAGTTTCTTCTTCGGCCGAGCTTGAAGATGAGTCCAAGTCACGCTTGTTTGAGTTTCGGGAGGCACGAGATTTTAATTTGATATTTCTTTTGCTCATCGTTGATCCATTCATTTTCTTTGAATCGGTGCTTCTCTTCGGATGGTAATGCCCATTTAGTATTTGTGGCTCACTGCCAGAAGAACTGGACGAGGAAGACTCATCTGACGAGTCTTCACTGCTTATCTTTGCATTATGAGGAATGTCATCTACAATTTCTACAATTTTTGGTCCATGTTCTGGCTGTGCTGATATGGTGGACATCTAAATATAAATTTCTCAAGAATTAGAAGAACAAATCAACCGAGCTGGGTTCCTACCTCAATATGCTCTCCATTTCGGCTGTTACTTTCTTCGTCGGAAATGTCACTGTCTTCATGCAACTGAAGTCTGGCCATTAGAGATGAACTGGGGGCTTCAGTCAAAGCTGCCCTTCGTTGCATCAGCTGTCGAGATGATGGTCGAAGATTAAAGTTGTCAAGGCCTGACGGCCCAGGCAGCTGAATTGCTTGTAAGAACTGTTTTTAAACCAAAATTAATAATGAATAATTATTTATAAAAAAAAATAACTACTTTGTTAAGTCCATTAGGATTTTGGCTGTCAACTGAGCTAATGCTGCAGCGCCTGGAGGACTCAATTTGTGAAGTGTGAAACTCCACTTGAGAAACTTGATCCATTTGGCTGGATCGGGAGCCCCATTTGCTTCTCTTGTCTCGATGTCTGTGGCGCGTCCTAGGATGATGTTTTGAACTATGACCCTATTAAAAATTTCATAAATTATTTGGTAAAAAGTAATTTCGTTTAAAAACTCACTCCATGCTTTTGTCTTGACCTACTTCCTCGTGTTTGGTGTCTCGCAACAACTTCAGAAATTGTGATGGACACTTGAGAGTCCATAGAATTCCGTCTTGACTCCACCGAAACCCTTAAAAATTATATTAGTTCTAAACGTACACATTTTTCAAGAGGCTTTACTGTCTAAAGCTCATTCCAACGTCAGACTCCACAGAGTTTCTACCCACAGTCGAAGCAGAATCAAACTTAGGAAAAGCTCCTCGTCTTTTCATCAAGCGCGGCAACTTGTTAGCCCACGAGGAACTAAATCCTTTGGACGAAGGCTGAGAATTCATATCAAAATTCATTCCTGTGAATCGTTTTTAAATAAAATGTGGCCCAGTTTTAACAATTTACAACAAACCAACAGGGTCACCATGTGAGCTACGAAAACTGAAGGAAAGCCGTCCTTCGTTTTTGAAAATTCCTCTCTTAGCAAACGCCCTGGCAATTACTTTGTGCTTTTGTAAGTTGATATCTCTGGTTGGGCGTTCCTGGGTGTCTCCAATTCTGTGTCTTTCCATTGCATTCAAAGCCACTGGGTCTCTATTAAAAAGGTTTATTCTATTTTGAACTAAAAACTTTTCATGTGTACTTACACATAGTAAGGCGCAATGCAACAAGGGATCTTCTTCTGCAAAACACGCTTCCACGTCTCTTTGCTCTGAGAATTGAAAAGCCAAGATGCCACCAAGATTGAGAGAAAAAATGGTGCCAAAATGTGCAGCTGCACAATGGACAAGCTCGGTTTTGAGCTCAAAGGGCAGGGCGAATCCTTTTCAAGAGTGCGGCACCTAAGAAAACAATTGATATAAAAACTGCATTGGTAGAAATTAAATACAATATTACATTATTGATTCTTCAAGTGCTGATTGCCAGCTCTGTGCATGTCTAAATTCGTAGACATGACTTGAGAGGGTCAGAAATAGAAGGGAAAAGATGCCAATGGAGAAGATGGCAAGACGTACAACCATGGTTTGAATTTGTTGAATTGCTCTGTGAGAAACTTGGTCCTTGGATTTAATCTGGATCTGTACGAGCATGACCATTCCTAAAAATTTGAATGAATTACAAATTACATAACACTTTTATTTGTATTAAAAGGACATGCGAATCTTACTTTTCCTCTTTTTTAGAAAGCTTGCAATTAAACATGTTTCTTTAAAATATTTTTGCTTCTAATCATTATTTGATTGCATACCTCTGACCAAGAAAAATCCTCCTAAAATTGAGGCAAGCAAAACGGGGCCTACGAGAAGCATTCCTCTAGCAAAGATGCTGAAACTTCCAGCACCCCAAATGCTGCCTCCAGCCGTGCCGACAAAACAAATTCCAGAACTGCTGTCCGGATAGACCTCACCAATGGCCAAGGTGATGATGGTCAAGACCATCGGCCACGACCAAGCGGCCAAATGGTAATAGGCACTCCGATTGTCGGTGCTCACTTTTTTCAAACCTTCAGTGAAAAATTAACATTTGAAAAAAAATTAAGATGTTATTTATTTAAAAAACGCACCAGCATTTTTGAAGCTCGTGTGCCAGGAGTAAGCAAATACGACAAACCAAACCAGGGCAGCCATTAAGAAGTAGTAAACAATCACAAAGACCAAAACACAGGATAAATTTTCTCCCATACTGAAAATCCAAAAATCAGTGAACACAAATTTCAAATGTTAGAATTTATACCTTGGCTCTGCCCCTCTGGCCGTTCCATCTTTCCTGCAGAGAATATCAGACCTTGCTCCAGGGATGAATTGAATGAGCCAGCCAAAGTTCGAAATCATACAGCACAAGTTGAGGTAAAAAACAATTAGAGCTGGGTACCGTGCTGATGATCCCCAATCCACAATAAACGTCAGCTGGATTCAAAAATTTAAGTAAGTTTGGAGTTTTAAATGACTTGAATTTTCAACTTACAACTACAAAGAGATTCAGGAGGACAGCAAAAGATGCACCCCAAGCAATCAGCCTTTGGAGTCTTTCCAATTCATCGGGAGAGAACAAGGGAGTTTCGCAGGGCAGACTACAGCCTTCGATGCTGGGGTAGTGTCTCTGAGGATCAGTGTACATTGTGATTCCTGAAGGCGGAGGCACAGGAACCAATGGAAAGGGACAGGTTGAGGTCGTGTTGAATTTCAGTTCTCGAAAATTGTCCTGATACAAAATTTAATTTATTTCTTAATGAAATTTGTTGAAAAAAAAATTATACCTTGCAATCTTTTTGGAAAATATTTCGGTTGCTGCAGTTGAGGAACTCGGGGTAGCCTTTGGGACTTGCTTTGAGCAGTTTGCACGGTCCTTGAGCTATGAGGCACATTTCTTCCGGAGGCAGAATGAGATTGTCGTTGATGCACTGCGGCAGGTGGTAGGCACAGATCAGAGGCTGGACCACGGCCCAGCACTTTGGAATTCGGCTCAACACTTCCCAGGACTCGACGATTTCCTTTGCAATAAAAATTAGTCTTGGATAATTATTTCGAGTAAAAATAAAATCTACCAGCATTTCTGTCAAACTGGTAACACTCGGGAGAAGGTCAAGGCTGACTGTGGTGTAGGGCAGCTTTGTGCCGAGACACCACAGAGTCGGAGGCAGGCCAGCAGTTCCCACTGAAGTGCTGTTGATGTTCTCGCAGATGGTGGTGGTTTTCATGTAGCAAAAATTGGACCGAATTTTGCTCCTCTTCCTGCCAGAGTCTTCAGGTTCCGAGTTGGCGTAGGTGCCGTTCAGGATGGCCATGGCTCTGTCCAGCAGGACGCAGAACACCAAACACCAAATCACTGTTTGCCTCATCCTCCTTGACTTTCAATTCCTAAAAAAGGGTAAAATTCATTTTATAAATAAAGGAGTTTTTATAAAGCAAAAATAACTAGCACCAAATTTTATGCAGATTTTAGCCCATGTGAATAATTGACTTTGAAATTGGACATTTCATAAATATTCATGCTCGGGTTCAGCCTCTCCAAAGCGATATTAATTATCGGCGTTGCTGGGACCACCCGTAGTTTCACCCACGCCTCGGGATTTTCACCGGATTTCGACTTGACATTGACACAATCAACATTAAAAGTGACATCTCCATTAAATGATAACTCAATTAGCAATTAGAAGTAGAAAACGGGCGTCTTACGTGTCAAAAAACCCTCCGAAATCGCATCTTCCAGGCTTCTTTCCTCCAGCGAAACGAACCAAAACACAAGCAAGACCACCCATGTGGAATTTCGAGGGCGCTGATTGGCTGAGGATCTCTCCGTCTTAGCCAATATCTGGCCTGTTCGAAATCTGCGGCGGCAAAAAAGTGCGGCATGCGGGCGCCTCTGCTGCAGGATGATTATCGATTACCACAATTCTACGGTTTGTATACGGTTTAAATTTTAAATTAAACACGCGTGTGATTTATTTCTGAGAGTAAAAATTGAGTCGCAAAAAAAAACGGAGAATCTAGGTATCAATTTATAAGCATATTATTTAAAGACAATTATTTTTTTAATGGTATCAAGCGTTTATTCACGGCTTTTATATATTTTAATGATGGACATGTAAAGCTTTACACATAATAGCATCGGTTTATTTTTTCTTTCATTCTACCAAGCTGTTAATTTTATTTATGAAAATTATTGTAATGTGCGATTTTTTTAATATAAGATATTTTATTATGCCTAAATACTAACGTAAATATATTTTAGCACATATTAATTTATTTTTTAAATCAATTGTCTTAAAATATTGTAGACAGTAAAGAATAATATAAAATAAATTGCATTCCTCTCATATATTATCCACCTCAATCCTTAATCTTGTAGAAAATTTTGGCTAGCGTAGGGAAAGTGGTAAAAAAATATGAGATTAGAGTTTATAAGCTTGGCGCATCATCAGATCGAAGTACGGGTCGCTGTCGATAGAAGAACTGACTCCAGAATAGTAATCAGTGAATTCATCTTCAGTAACCTGTCAAAAGATTTTTTATTTAAAATAAATAACATTTATTAGCATTGAATATTTTTACCTTTCCGTCAACTAATCCGTCCTTTTCAAAGTTCAGCAAAAACCGATTCAGCACCTGTTCTTCACTTTGCTCTCCACTCAAGTATTTGGGGTTGTGCTTGACATTGTAGACGCCCTTGAGGTCATCGACGCTGATGACTCCATCACCCGTGCGGTCCAACTTGGTGAACGCCTCTTTGATCAGTCGGCGCCGATTTGCAGACATGGGAGGCTTATTTTGATTTATTAAAATAACGGCAGTTATTATTTCAAAACTTTTTTACCCTGAGTGCCAACAAGAATTCGTCAATATTAATCGATCCACTGCCGTCTTTGTCAACAGCGGAAAATACGGCGGCGGCCTCGTCGTCTCTCAAGACAAGACCGCTGTCTGAAAGACCCTTTGTGAATTCGTCTAAAGATAAAGCCCTGCTGCCGTCATCGTCCATTCGACGGAAAACTCTGGATTTTGTTTAATTAAAAAAGAAAAAAAAATATGAATAAAAATAAATTATTTACCGGCCCAAACCGAGAATTCCCGTCGAGCCTCTGGACAAACATTGCAGTCTCAGTTTGTCTAAAGGGTCGGTGGTCGAGGACAGTTGCCTCTTGGACTTGCTGACCATTTCCTCCTCCTGACGCCTGCCGGTCGTCATAGGCCGCTGGTGATTGAACATGTTTTGAAGCTGCGGGCATAAATATTTCATAATATCATTTCCAAAAACAGCTTTAAATTTGTTTATTTTGGGGATCCGAAAATAGATTAGAAATACATTACAAGTTTATCGAAAGCGTTTAATTAGCCTGTGAAGGGGAGCGACTGAAAAAGCAGTGATAAATTTATATTTCCACTACTTGATTATTTAGTTGGATCACGCGACGGCGTTTGCTGATTTATTCCGAAACAGCTTTTCATTCCCACAGTTTGGGTGTTGGGAGGGAGCAGCACTTTCAAATAAAATAAAATCTCCACAAAATGAAGCTAATATTTTAGTATCAAATAAAATATTTATAATTGTTCCAAAAATATCAGATAAAATTTAATTTGATGACAAGCAAGGTCATTTCCGTCCAGTCTCAGGCATTGAACAATTATTTTACCTTTCTAGACGCATTCTAAACGTCACCCACGAGAAGACTTATTTTTTATTGTAGTTCTCTTACTTTTTTTTCTTGTATGCTTCTGTGGGTTTTCGGGATTCGCCTCAGTGCGTTCACTGTTTCCTTCGCTAGACTGGCTGATGTAATAAGGCACGGTCGCGACGCGAGGAAAAGGAAAATCGCACCCAATCAATAATAACAATTTATATTAAATAAAGTAAATTACTATATTACTCCTGACGTCCTGACCCAGAATGACCGAAGAACGGAACTGGCATCTGAGCAGTGCGGTTTTAATAATCGTACGATGGTGGTTTAACAATCGGTTAGTTTTTGACTAGCCACGAATTTATATGCTGAAGTATAAAATTTATAACGGCAAACCAAATAATCTGACAAGTAATTAGAATAGAATAATTGAATTCAGAATTAAAATTGAATAATAGAAATTCATTCTAGTTTATTTGCTTCTTAAAATTATTTTGAACACTTAATGCAAACTTTTAAGACGCAAAAAATTAATTCGAAAGAATTAAGCCAAAAAACAATTTTTTAGTATTAAGGTTCTAGGTAAATTTAATTTTGAATTATTGGCTTTTTTCCTCGCCCAACAGAAAAAAAGCATTATCAGAAAACATGGGATAATAATGTATTTATTTATGTTTAAAAAAATTTAAGATTTCTAAATAAAAATGTTCAAAATTTGGCATTTAAATTAATTTTGAGAGGATTGTTTTCCTAGTTTTACTCTGCTCAATGTCAGAATTTGGCATTAAATTTCCCTTGCCATTAAAATTTGTCGGTAATATTTTATAAAAAAAATTGTAAGAATTAAAATTAATTATTTGATATCACATCACCCTCAATATGCAGTGATAATTTTATGTGAAAAACAAATTACTTCACGCCAGTGCACGCGGCTGATTCTGCATACAATTATAAAATCAAATCTTGAAAACGCCACCCTTTATTTTTTACTCACGCTCCGCACACACAATGCAGCTCGGCTCCTGCTTGCCTGCTCTACTCCTATAAAAATAATTTCAAACTTCCGCCAAAGACGGGCGTAGCTCAATTTAGCAAGGATGAGATGAAATCATCGCGAGAGGCAATCCCGAAAAAGGTCTATATTTATGCGTCCGTGTGTGTTAAACAGAAGATCGGCGCTCATGTGTGTCCCTCTGATTCAGCCTGGCCCCATTTGAACGTACACAGAACGTGCGCCAGTATAATGCGGGGGTATGAATTTTTTAGGCTCGCGTGTCCGACAAAGATAAACGCGATCGCACCGCAGGATACTGGTCAGCGGTTTTGTACAGAAGTTCAAGGGTTGAAACGTCCCTGATAACATTAACATGAACGAGCGAACGCTGACCCACTGACCCACGCGCGCTCGTCGGATAATTAATAAGTTGCCATGTGCGTGCGCCCCAAGAGTTATATGGGCAAAAAGCCTAAAAGTTTTAATGTACCCATCTGCTTATAATAAACGATCTGCCAACTTCTGGGACGTGTTAGAAAATTAAAATTATAAGATCTTCAAATTGTAGTCACTTGTTTGCGCTGGTTCAAATCATAAGGATCTTCAAGTTTCTTGTATACAGGTGTTGGATCGTAGTGTTTAATAAAAGGTATTGAAATTTTAAAAATCAGAAATCGTTCATTTATTAGATTTTGAAGTGTTATCAGTGCAAATGAATATATCTTTTTTGTGTTGTATTTTGATTTAAATTTATGATTGAAAAAGTTTTATGGAAGCATTTTACGATCGCGTTGATTGTTGATTAGTGGTGGTTTGAATTTAAAGGCTCCTCAATATAGGCTCTTTGGATTTAGGGAAAAAAAATTTTATATGATGATTTTTCAATAAAATTTAATTTAAAAAGAAAACAGACTTTAAATTTAATGCGCCATAATTTATTTTTTTTAGAACATAAAAAAATTATTGTTCGGAGTGTTGCTTTTTTATTTGAAAATTCACAGCTAGCAATGGCAGATATATTTATGTTGATTTTTTCTAAATTCACATTTCACATTATGTACTTCGCGTAATGAGGAAAGGGAGTACATATTAAATATAATATAGATAAGAAACGCCATTAACGGGAGATAAAATTGTATGAATCACACCCCGTTTAGCGATATTGGCATTGATTTTTGCAATCAGCTTATTCCCGTCATGATCAAATATATAGATACTCTGCTGAGGAAAAAAAGCTAAAGAAATAGTGCGTTAAAACATAATAATCTTTTTTTTTAATTCTAAGTTAATAAGCATGCATGATTTATTTTGCAAACATAAAGAAAAATAACGCGCTTGTCCTTATTTACATTTTTATAATTGAAAAAAAGTAAAAAAAAGATTATCATATTCTAAAAATACCGACTCTCTTTGTCTTAAGAGGCATTTTCTTTAATTTAAAAAAAATCCATCAATTTTTAGGAATAATTAAATTTATATTTAAATACCTTGTATAAATCTTTGAGACTTATTTTACTCCCGTCTTTAACACCAAATTTTCGAACACTACTTCAAATAATATTTTTTTTTTAACACAATCAGTTGTGGCAGTAACAGTAATAATATTGTTTCAAAATCACAACTAGATAGGAAAAAAACAAATTACAGTGCATGTTGACAAGTATGTAGTAATAGTAGCTGCTGTAATAATTGCAATTGTCGATAACACGGCCGAGAGACAAAAGCCGGCTGCTATGCTATTATTGTGTAATTTACCCGCTATCCGCGTACCTCACTTCAAAACAGACAGGTGTTTGAAAGTGCTGGCGAAACGATAAAGGTGAATTACCTGGACGAGCCGAGAGAAATAACGTACCGTGAGGAAATCGACGTTCGGAGCGAGCGAGCGAGTATATTCACCCTGCGGAGGCTAGTGGTGGACTGAGTGCGACGCCGGGTGCTTTGCGCTTTGCTCAAGCTTTGCTAGCTGCTTCTGGCGTGTATTGATATGCTTTGCTGCTTTTCGGCGGCGAGCCGGCCGGGGACGAGGCGGCGCCTAAAACTATCTCCGCTATATAAGTCATACTCCCCTGGCCCTCTTTCCAAAGCAATTGTCAAGCGTTGTTATTATGACTGGCTTGTATTGATGCCTATCAGACGACTTTGTGAAGTCAATATATAAATGGGAAGGAAGTCGAGCGAGACGAGGACGTTTCCTTTCAAAGTCACGGTGACGAGAGATATGACATGAGAAAATTTAATTGGTTTTTTAAAAAAAATATAACACTATATTGTTGTTGTATAATTAAAATGTACCATAAGAATAGAGATTAAATAAATACAAGCGAGAAGAAGAATGTCACATTTTTTGTCGATGTTAATTGACAAAGTTTTGCGCAACAGACTTCAATAATTTGTGTCGAAATTTAACGTGCAAGTGAAATGATGTACAGAGGGTAAATAAATGACGCGCTTTATAGATTATACATTTTACCACGTGTCGTTTTACCATGGTTACCATACGGCCCAGCACCTGATGTGTCCTCGCAAAGTGTGTCTTGCATTAATAAATTACCGAGTGTCGGCTCTTTTCACAATGGCGAGAAATAATCGATGAACTGCGGATGGTAAACAGAAGCGACCTGATTATAATGTTGTGCGAAATGGATCGTAAATAAATGAACTGCGAACACGCGACCAACAATGCGACTTTGAAAACATTAAATTTTTTGGAAAGTAAAACAAGAAACAACTTACATTAGAAATGTGTATGCATAAATTTTATATAATCATCTTATATAAAAAAAAAACTGGTTGCGCTGCAACGCTCATCACAGCGCGCCTGTAGAAACGATGAGAATGCAACCAGCATGGCTCACAAGTCGTACAGGTTGCCTAATAATTAAAATATTCAAGAATCTCGGAGCAGACATTGGTCTTTAATCTTACAAAATTAAAGCTAACTTTTGACGTTCAAAAGTTGACGATATAAAATATAAATAATAGTAAATATTAATCACTGCAATTTAGGTATGGACACGGAAGAAAGGATGCATTTTTTAACCAAAGGCAAAGTTTGCTGCATTTTTTGAGAAAACACAAAGTTTTATTGGAAGTTTCCACAAACACCATTTCTTTCACTTCATAATCTCTATGCATAGAATTCAAATCAATCACAATCAATTAAATAATAAAAATGCTGTAAATTTTGACGAACAAAACAACTTCCTTACGGGAACACTAAACAGGGAGTACATTTGTGTGAAATGAAAAATTTCAACTTTGTAGTTACTGTACGTGTAAAGTCAACAGAAATGCCTCAAAACCGCCACTCGTTGACACAGGTCAACGGGCGTTTTCATTATATAACTGAGAAGCCGCGTAGCGCGAACCATCCACCCCAATCATACACATCATTTGTCAGGTTTAGCCAAAAATGTGACTGCGGAAATCAGGGGCTATCCGAAATCGGATATAAATACAGAAGGAATAATTTTGACACTGATGAATTTTAGCGGTTGTGTGAAGAAAAAAAGGTGAATCAATCAAACGATCAAATTACACTTCAACAGGCTCTCACAATAGTCTTTGTTTCATTATTGGGAATTATCAGTCTGTGCATCCATAACAGCTCGGCTGCACTACACAATCACTCACTCAGCACATTCCGCTTACAACTCATCGTGGCTACCGTCCTGCAACAAAACAAAGGCCAAAAGTTAGAATAATGTTTGTCGATCAAAGACAAAATTAATTTGATGTTAGTCACAAGCATAAATAACTCTTATTTCCACATTCAATACCTTCTTCTCTTTGGAATCTTTCGATTCAGATGCTTTTTTGGCATCTTTCGAGCCAGATGCCTTTTTGGCACCTTTCTTGCCCTTTTTCTTTTTACCCTGTAAATTTTACTTCTAAAATATCTCTCTCGTTAAATGTATTATTTTCTTTTTACTTATTGCACATCAAGCTGCTAGGTTAGTAAAGCAAAAAAGGAAGGAAAACTATCGAAACGTACCTCCTCGCCTGTTTCGGGGGCATCACCCTCGGCGACTTCATTGTCATCATCATCTTCGTCATCATCCTCATCCTCGGCCTTATCGGCGGCCTCCTTGGCCTCAGCTTCACGCTTCTTGCGCTCTTCCTCATCTTGAGCCTCCTTCATTTTCTTCTCTCCTTCCTAAGGTGAAACAGAGAAGAGAGCAGAATTTATTAAAAGTGACAAATAATTCATTGTTGAATCTGTTATTTAGAACTTATGATTATCTGTTAAAATTGGCTTCATCGTAACACAATAGATAACCAATACTAAACATCACAAGGTCACTTATTGGAGTTCCAAAAATTATATTCAAATATAATTTTAAAACTTACAATGGTGGGTTTCCAGATGTCTTCTCCGTACTTCTTGGCGTAGTCGGGATCATCAGTGATCAAAACGTTGTCAAAGATGGTGCCGGACTTGACCTGCCACAAATCAAAACCAATGGCACAGATCTCGTCTCTCTTGTAAAGGTTAGGGTCGGCCTTGTATTCAGGGTTGTCAATCTCAGGGTGCACCCAGACGCCCTGAAAATTAAAAACAATATTTCAATTGGCATTCAATCAATTATTTTTTTTTCTGCTCGAACTGATCAAAAAATAAAACCATCCTTTTCTTTACCTTGTAGGCAGGGTTGTCAATCTGCTTCGGCTTCCATTCGCCCTTGTACTCAGGGTTGTCGATCATTGGGGGCTCCCACTCGCCGTCCATCTCATCGTCCCAGTCCTCGGGCTTCTTAGCCTCAGGGTCGGCAATGTGTTCGGGCTTTTCCCAGTCCTCGGGCTTGGCGTCGTTGGGGTCATCGATGGTGGCACGCTCGTCCCAGTCCTCGGGCTTCTTGGCTTCAGGATCCTTGATCTTCTTGGGGGGCAGGAAGTTCCAGTCGGCCTCCAGTTCGCCTCCCTCGACCTTCTCGTTGTCGATGAGAACCTCGTAGGTGTTGTCCGGCTTGACAATCAAAGTGTACAGATGAGTGTAGACGTCGTCCTTGCACCGGATTTCCTTGTTGATCAGGTGGTTCTTGCCCTGGTAGCTGAAGATGACGTGCACCTTCTTGGTGCCGGGACCGCAAATGTCAGGGCCGAACATAATTTCATACGGGGAGTCACCGTGCATCTCGGAAGGCTCGAGTTTGCAGTCAAAAACCTTGGCGTATCCGCCACCGCAGTCAATGTTCTGCTCGTGCTTGACGGAGAACTGGATGACCAGGGGCTTGCCCTCATTGCTGAAGGGCTTGAACTTGCGCGACAAGGCATAGAAACGGGCATCTTCAGAGGTCTGCAGACCTGGAATTTTAAATTATATTAGAGGATATTCTCCGAGAATGAAGATAAAAAGGGCTAGATTCAAGAGATTTTTAAAATAATTATTAGATGTAGTTTTTCTTGGAAGATTTCCAGGATTTAGTCAACTGGACGATTCCAGCTCTTTTGATGATAACATTTAATTAATCTCTTTAATTTATTTTTACAGACATTAGGGCTGTCATTATAATTGTAGGCTAATAAAAGGGTAAAATTACTCTGAAGATAATTTTTATTTTCATTCAAAATAAATAATTGTTGGCAATTAAAAAATTTTACCTCAAATATGTTATGAATAGCTTTAATTAATTATCAATTATGTTTGAAACAGTATTAATTTAATAACTCTATCAATGACCTGTTGACCTTCATAGTATCAACTGGAGTTTGTTCTAACAACAATTACTATTTATTTAAATTAATCACAATTAAATATTTTCTTGGAATTTAATTATTTAACCGTTTCTTCCTTGTTTCAATGAAATTAAATCCCTTTCAGAACTGGGGGAAAATTTCGAGGAAAATAAATTTTATTACATTTTAAGCAATATCTTAATGACCACAAAACTTGACTGATAAAACTAACAATTGCCAGCGAAAAGATGGCACAAATGAAATTTGAACTTAATCAGTCTTTCCTCGTTAAAATCAAAAAGTTCATTAGGATCAACACTTGCCACGACGTCAATTATTATCAATTTGCCACATGGCTTAAAGAAATTCAAACAATTACTCCATCAATACTGTAGATCAAAATTGTAAAATTGTAAATATAAAGAACTCAAAAGCAAAATTTTCTAGTATCTATTTAAAGCGCCAATGGGCGTGGGAGCTAATCTTTTTCGGACGAGGGGCCACCTTGAGATTCGGCCGTGTACGCACCTTTGTCCTGCTCGACGTCATTGTAGAATTTGCCCGAGCTCAGCTTGAACTTGCCAAACTCCTTTCCGGGAGCCTTCGAATAAATCCAGTCCTTCTCCCATGAGTCTGCAAAATAAGTGGCCAATATTAACTCAAAAAGCGAATGAGACGCTTTCGTTTTCAAGACGTTTTCGCCTTCGCGACAGCCGGTCATTCAACTTGGCAGGCGAAAAGAGGCAGCTCAAAATTTGCAAACTTACCGTCCAAAAACTTCTCCTCGAGGAAGACTTCGGCGTGGCCGATTTTAATCGCCACTAGGGCGAGTAATAGTTGCACGACTAATTTCATTTTCACTTATAAATTCCTTAATTTACGTGCCTCCCTCGAGTAGCTGGCCGGTTTTGTCGACGTGAACTTCACTCGCCGTCGATGTAAATCAGCAGTCAGCCAGATGGATCGCTGCGATTGGTCGAGCCGGCCGACCAATCCTAGACACACACGCTCGCCGAGAGAAGACTCGGCGAGTGACATTCCCAGCCTTTTCATTGGTTCTCGCGCTCGTGACGTTTCCTTGATAAAACATTTTGCGGGAAACGCGAAAGTTTCTTGTGCCACATGCACACCTCGCGCCCGTGGCTCACAATCACAGCGAGCTCATAAAGGAACTTTCTAGAATGCGGTTACAGGCCTCGCCTTAATTAATTTTCCAAAGTAAAAATTCCGGACACATTAAAAAAAAGATTAATTTGAGAAGGAAAAACTACTAAAAAAAAAAATCGCAAACGAAAAAAGGAACAAAGTTTTTTTTTATCTCATATTTAATCATAAATTCCCTCTGATGCTTATCAAAATGTTTGAGAGAAATAAAATATAAATTTTCATAAATATTTACATTTTCATCCTCAAACTAGATTGAAAATTAATATTAAAAAAACCCACTTATAGCACGCGCACTTTGGATTGGAAATCATATTGTAAAAAATATTGTTTTACATTATTTATGTTTTTATTGGTTTCATAATAGCATTATGTGCTTGAGAATAACACCGCAAATATTTTATTTTTAACTCCAAATAATAATTTTATTTAAAAAAAATCGTAACATAATAGTAATGCAAATCACAAATAACCTACCACTGTAAAATAGTGCACTGGTGAAGAATGTTTGGAGACGAGTACGGTATAAAAACTGCTCAACAGTTTCAAAACTCAAATATTACCACAGTCGAACTAGAATTTATTGTGACATAATATAAGTTTAATTCTAATTGGGTCCATGTTACGTCACTAGAAATAACCAAGCTGCTCACAAATTTCAGGGTAAAATTATTTATAAATTATCAGATTTCAGACATAACAAATCGCGATTCTCCTCCAATGAACTGGCACTTTTAAGTAATGAAATCTCAACGTAGCGAAAAGCGTCATACATAAACAAAATAGCTGTTTCATTTCAGCTGACTCGTCTTGTAAGTGTGAGAATAGATGTTTGTATACAAATGCAAGTAGTATTATGTATTTATACAAAATCGTTGATTGTGACAAAACACGTCGCAGAAAGGAAATGTGTTTTTGCGTAACTCAGTAGTAGCCGTACCGGGATTATAATCATTGGCAACAATATAACAGCAACTTAATAACAATAAATTATCCGCCACCTAAAATGCCAAAAAGGAAATCATGACCCAAACTGCTCCGTGTTTTCTTCGATCTTCTTGAACTCGAACGACCCACGCCCGTCCATTTGCAGATAGTACTGAGAGAACGAGGAAAAATGAAATTAGGAAAAACCAATCAGATAATAAATAATGAAATTACCTCGTGGTGTTTCCACAGAGATCGCCTGTGGCTCACAGTGAACAATGTGATGCCAGCTTCTCTGCAATACTGGTACATCAAGCCTTCAACATCAACACTGACAGCGCTGGTGCACTCGTCCAAAATGGCAAACTGTGGCTCGTGGTAGAACAGACGCGCCATCTATTCATAGAAATGGTGTGATTATTACCCTAGCAATTTAAAGTTATAAAATTATTCTTACGGCAATTCTCTGCTTCTCTCCTCCGGAGAGGACGTCAAGCCAGTCGGCAATGGCGTCCCAGCCACCCTCCCTGCTCAGAATGTTGGACAGCTGCACCCTGTCAAGGTACCGTTCAAGGTCTGCCTCAGTCTTTCCACTCATCCTCATTTGCTCAATGGTGTGTGGATAGATGACCTTGGAAATTATAACAATGATTAGGAATTTTTTTATATTATCATAGGGTAAATATTTAACCTGGTCTCGCAAGGTGCCGAGTGTCATGTATGGCCTCTGTGGAATGTAAAACAGTTTCCCCTTTTCTGGCTTGGTCAGAGTTCCTCCGAACAAAGGCCAGAGTTCGCCCAGCATGCGGAATAGCGACGACTTGCCACATCCGTTGGGACCGCAGACAAGGACGTTCATGCCGGAGTGAACCTCGAAACTGAGTTCGTCAATAAGTACATCTCCATTTGGTGTGACAAGAGGGACTCGGTCGAATTTGATGATTTTGTCCTGAATCACAAGGCGGCCGGCTCCAGGAATCAGAGGCAGTTTTCCCTCTCGATGGGGTCCATCACCATTGGCTGAACAAATTTATTCATTATCTTAATTTGAAGCTTTGGCTTTTGATGAACATACCCATGCCATTTGTGCTGACCATGCTGCGCACGTAGTGACCTTGGTTGAGGTCAAGGAGCACCTGCCTTAGCTGCGTGACCCGCTGAGTAAAGCCGGCAAGACGAGACATCTCCCTGCCGGCAAGCACCAGTCTACCAATGGCTTCTGCCAGCTTAACCAACATCCTTCCGCTTGTGTAATATTGCTGTTGAATAATATTTGAATTTTACATAAAATTTCAATTCAAACTTAAAAGGTTGAATAATATCTCACCTGCAGTCTCTCTTGTTGATTGATTTTGGACAGAGCACCAGAAGACGTCAAGAACGGAATGCTGACTGCCCAAAAGCCAACAACAGTGGCAATGTCTGAGAAAAAAATGAGTATTGAAAAAAAAACTATTACAAAAACAGTAAGGGTTAAAAACGCAATTAAAATTCCCAAAAATCTCATTAAAGAACTTTCCGTTTAAAAAAAATCATGATTTTTCTACTTCAAAAATCACTAAAACTTAAAAAAACCAATTTATTTTTTGTTTTCTTATTTTGAATATTTATAAAAGTAAGTTTTACTTACACCGTGCAACAATGTTGTCAACAACTCCCATTACAAACTTGAAGTCCAGGAATTTGCGAAGATGAGTTATCTGCAGAAAAATACATTATTGAGAAATGAAATCCATTTAAAATATTTCCTGTTCAGGTTTTACCAATTTGCTGTATGATGCTAAAAGAGTCAGTTTTTCTCTGCGGTTGCCTTGGTAGAAGGCAATTTCCTCGGAGTTGGTGATGAGACGTGAGTTTATGTAGCGGAACTCTCCTTCCAGCCTCTGCTCCTCCATGGTAAGGCGTCCGGTGGGCCTTCGGAGGTGCGTCAAAATAACACCGGATATCAGCAGGTAGACCATCATTACAGAAGGAGTCTGGAATTGAATAATCAATAAAAACCACATCCGCTTGGCATATAGATCACAAATTACTGACCTTGAACCCGATGTTCATGGTCAACCTGTAGACATAAATGCCGATGTCCAACAGCGGTTTGCTGATGTTAGAATAGAGATCCACCACTGTATCACAGAATTTTTCCACATCAACCGTCAGCAGTTGGTCTGCGTTGGCAATTCGGTTGTCCAGATTAGTCATTTTGTAGTAAGTGAAGCCACTGTGCATTGATCATTTTCATTTAGTTCGCGTTTTTGCGGCGGAACTTTCCTTTTACCTCAGGTACTGGTCGTAAAGGTGATGGGTTAATCTGGTTCTCATTCGAAGTTTGCATTCAGTGATGCCGTATTTCAATACGTTGTTGACGAGGGAGATCTAGGCAGAAAAATAAATTAAAAACATTGATTTCTGGAAACTTTTAAATTCAAGTCACCGAAAAAATTTACCTGAAATATTTAACAAAATTTAAAAATTATTTTATCTCTATAATTAAAAGTTACGAAAAAGTGAAAATAAAATATCGTGAAAATTTTACAATTATGAAGACAATTTGTGAAAGGGAAAAGGTATTTTTTCGTTGATAAAAAATTGACAGATATGAATTATGGTGTATTTGTATTTTTTTAAGATTATCGGATTAGATTATATATTAAAAAACACGTGGGAAAACCTTTTGAAAAGATAGAACAAAATAGCTTTTAACTTACAACAGGCATTGCTGCGAGGAAGTTGAACAGTCTTACTCTGAACTTGGCCTTGTCCGCACCAATAATAGCACTGAAATTAATTATAAATTTAGCAACCTCACAAAACTAAAAATATAGATTTCAATCACCTCTCAATGAGGGTTCCATTCTGGATCATCCAGAGGTCACACAGCGACCTCGCCACCAAAGAAGCTGCGACGAGGGCCAGGAATCCCGCCTCAGGGCTGAACAGCCCCGGCACGATGATTTTCCACAGCGCGCGCAGTTGTTTCGCGAACTCGGCGTCAACGTGCGCCTTCTGACCTTTGGATTGGCTCGACTTCTGCTGCAAATGACGAAGATAAGATTAGCTCTTGTACCAGAATAAAATTAAAGTCTGTAGAATGATAAAGTGAGTGGAAATTTAGCATTAAAAAGGAAAACTCACTTCTCCGACGACATAGCGAATACTGTCGGTGGCCGGATTCCTGAAATAATGAAGAAGAAAAATTATATCCCAAGGCTGGTGATAAAAAATATGCGATTATTAAGATATAATGAGGCGCTAATTAGTTTTCACCGCTTGAGGAAGCACGCAGGTCTGGAAAAATGAAGGTTTTTTTTGCGAATGATTTTATATTTAAGGGGCGAGAAAGACCTGATTTGGCTGGCTTATATATTTTTTTATTAGTGACGGCAGAGGGGCGATTGTAATAAATAATTACACGCATAATTTTAAATATTTGATTAGTGAGCATGATATAATAGAATATAGTTAAATGAATAGTGAGTCAGCTTTTTATTTCGACGTGCAAAAAAAATGGAAAAAGGATAAGACTCAGGAGGTGCGACTAGCGGACAAGGACAAATTCGGAAATCATACATATCCAGGCAGGGAGATCGAATCCTGCTTTGAAAACAAGTTGTGTTGCAATGAAGAAAAGTGCAGTAGTTTTTACCTCGATTTCCTCGCCTTTCGGCTAATGTGCGCCAGCCAGAGGAGGACCGACAATGAACCTGCATTTATGACGGTCCTTGACGTGAGGTACTTGCTCAGAGCCGGGGCCATTCTTTCGATCGGATTCAAGTACGCGACATCAACACGCAGCCAGATGCAGTTGCAGTGAAACTGCTCGAGATTTAATTGATCGAGTAGTTCTTCTTGAGAAGGCAAACTTTCTCCTTCTGAGGAACTGAACGCAACTTGCAGCTGCAAAAATCAACATCAGCCGCGAGAGCCGCCACCTCCCACTCCAGGGCTGCCCCCACACGCTCCTTCACCTCCACCCAGCATGGCAGCCAACAAGATAATTATTCTGCACATGCACAGAGTGCACTCCATAATAATTGGACTTGCACACTTTGAACACTCCAATTTACGTTATCACATCGATTTGAAATTATTTATATTTTAAAATTTGAATAATACAAGTTTTTATGAATTGTTTTTTGAGAATGAAAAGTCAACTTTTTTACATCCGTGTATGTAGTAGTTTATTAAGCCTGCAAAAGAATGCTTTTTATATAAGGAGATGCAATGATTTGCACAAAGACTTTGTAAGGGACGCTTTGCGAAGAAGCCGGTGAGAGATAAAAATAAAAATGTGCTTGCTCATACATAAAAAAAACATGACTGTGTATTATTTTATTTACAACCAAACAGCACAAAAATTGGTGTTTATCGTTTATGATGAAAACTAAATCTGCTCTTTAAAGTTAAACTCTTCAAGGCAAAATTTATGGTAATAAGAAGTAAACAAGAAAGTGAGCATCTGCACGAGTCTAGGAGTCTCTACCTCCTGCTCTTTCTATTCCGCCTGTCCGGGGAACTAGAGCTACTGGAGGTGCTCCTGCGCCTCCGACGCCGCCGAGACGATTCCGACCTGGATCGACTCCGGCGTCGGGACGTCTTGTAGTAGCTTTCGGAGGAGCGGGAGCGCCTCCTTCTGGTGCCAGACCTACTCCTGTCCCTACTTCCCCTCCGTTTCCTCTCCCTGGAGGAGTTCCTCCGTTTTGGAGACTTGCTCCTCCGCCGCGGCGATTTGGACCTACGGCTGCCGGAGGAACTCCTCCGTCTTTTCCGATCTTTTTTCCTCTCCCGGCTTCGATTTCGAGTGCGTTTTTCCTTTCGCCTCTTGCGGTGGCGCGAACCCCTTGAGCTGCTGCTGCTACTGGATGACGAAGAGGAGCTTGATCTTGATCGAGACCTCTTTTTGCGTTCAGTCTTCTCTGCCTTGGCACTGGTTTTCCCGTTGGCCCCGTCTGAAACAGAGAAATTCGCAATAATACGAATTCGCAGGGGAAAATTGGCACCGGAGACGAAAGTCTTTCTCCTCGACGGCGAGACCGACGATCAAAAGTAAAATCGACACTTACCAGCGAGTGACTGCTCCTTAATGCTCTCTACCTGTCTCGCTGACTGGCCATTGTCAGTGGAGTCTTTTGCACTCTCATTCGACTCTGCACCTGTTTTCACATTATTCAACGCAGCCCTCTGCTCCCTCTCTTCCACCTCGGCAACCGCAGCTTCAATCTCCCGCTCCTTCACAACAAAATCCTGCTGCCGCTTGCGAATCGTCTCCTAAAAAAATTTAAATCATTTTGTTTTAAATAAGTTAAAAGGTTAAAGATGAAATTAAACTATTTTAAGAAAAAACTCAAGCGACCAAATGAGAATGAATAACTTCACATAATTTTTTTTGGCTAACTTAAATTTATTCCTTTTTGTATCAAATTATCGACATTGCATTGAATAATTTAATTATTCCAACAACTTTTTAAAATGATTATAAACTATAATAAAATAAGCCAAATTATTACAAATAAATTTACGTTGAAGAAATATTCATTATAAATGGTGCATTTTCTCATACCTTCAGATTGTCATCAGAGTCGCTGTCTGAGCCTTGACCTCGGTTGGCCGTCCTGCCCTTCAAAGCCCTTTGGCGGTCGTCGTCGTCAGACTCGGAGCTGGAGCCATCAGAGCCGGAGCCGTACATTGCCAGACCTGAGAGAGAAAGAGCCAAACAGGCCTTGCATAGAAAAAACGTCTTGTCCAAAAACTAAAACTACTCCTGCCATTCACTCTAACGGGCAAACAAAAATTAAGTAAGAAAAGTTGCAAAGATTGACAAAAGACAGCATTCACTCTCTACGTGTTCTGGTTATACATTAGACAACACAATAAGATGGAAGGTGTAAAGGATTGTTTTTTCTTTTCTTTTTAGTTAGCACTAATCTAACATGGCGTCTAAATTGAGAATTTCCTTTGTACGGACGTCTCGCAACTTAACTGAACAAAAGTTACTCACCCAGGCTAGCTTTGCTTGAGGCTAAAGCCACGTTGTTCTTTGCTGGCTGATGTTTTGCTGAAGCTTTTTACATACAAACTGTTAAGAATGGGGACAACGAAAGCTGCAACTTGGCATTTGATTTAGAATGGGGGACGTTCAGCAAAATTGGGTCTCGTTATAACGGGGACAATTTATTAGGAACTTTTTTTTTCAAAAAATGAAAAATTATAACTCCAGGAAAAGACTTTCCAAGCTTTTCGAGATTATTCCTGGACAATGTTTCTGATTCAGTTCTACCTTTGCTCAGGGCTTTTCGCAAAGTCTCTTCTACCACTGACTCAATTTCACAGTTAGTTACGTCTAGAAGCACTTCGGTCATTGTCCGTCTCACTCTCAGCATCTGCCAGTGTTGTTATAATTTCAGACTGAAATAAAATTATGTTTTCCTACCAGTTCCTCGCGGCTGATCAGAGGCTTCTCGCCCCAAAGGGGCTTTTTCTCAGCCTCCACAAGGGGTCCGTCGTGGAAGCGCCGCCTTGGTCGCACTGCTGGCTCCGCAACCACGACTAGCTTTTTTTCTTCAACCTCGTCTTCTTGCTCTTCATGTTCATTGTTGCTCTCTTCATCAGAGTCTGACTCCTGAAATATTTTGAAAATTAAAAAAGATATCAAAATTCTGCAATTTTTTAAATTATAGTAATACAAATATCTCCAATTTAAATAAATTAAATTAATTAAATATTAACTGGAGCTTAACAAATTTATAAATTAAATTATTATGCAACTTACAAATTTGCTCTTCAAAGGAATGCCAGTCTTCTGGGCTTCCAGTTCCAACACCGCTTGCTCTTCCATCAGCCTTTTGCGTTTGGCTTCCTCCCTTTCCTGATCAGCCCTGTCTCTCTCCTCTCTTTTCTGCTTCTCCCGTTCCATCTTCTCCAAACCCTCCCTTATCCATGATGGCAAAGTGCGGCGTTTTGCAGCATCTGCAATCATATTCATTTTAAAACTCTGTTACCATTTTATGAAAACAATCAATTCTTGCCAATCACAGGCGACGGTTCCTCCTCAACGATGGGAGGAATATTGTGTGCCGCATTTTGGAACCTCCGGTCAATCTTCATGTTCTTCCCTTCCCAGTGGTGTCTTGGCCGCACAAACGGGGCCATGTGGTGCGCCCCGGGTGCATTCGGCATCCCGTCAAACCCATGTGTCGGTGGTCCACTGAACCCTAGATTTGATTCGAATGTAAATTCCACTCAAATTTGGTTGTAAGTACAGTCTAATTGTACCTGCTACGCCATAATTATAGTAATCACCTCTGTTGAAGTCATGACCGGGGTGCGGAAAGCGCCCCTCGTGCTTCGACCAGTATCCCGGTCGATTCCACTGCTGCCAGTTGTTACCATTCCAAGACTGGTTTTCTCCTAGAATTAAATATTCGACCTTTAATTCATTCAAATTTACTAATGATGGAAAGGTGTGAGGATTTTAAGTACATAACGAGAAAAAATATAAATAAAGGGAAAATAAATATTAAAAAGGCCAAACCTCCTGGATGTGAGATTTCCACATCATTGTTCTCCTCCTTGCTGATGTCCATGGGCGCCTCTCCGCCCTCTTCCTCCAGCACTGTCGAGCCTGGAGGTGCAGGTTGTGGTATTGAAAGCTGAGGGGGAGGAGGTGCCATGGGCATCGAGTCCTTCATCATTATCCACTGCTGTGCCAAACGAGCCCAATCGACTGAAAAAATTAAGACTTTTAATACAATTAAAATTAAAAAAATTCTCAATAATAAAAAAATATGATAAATAATTTTCATAGAGGATAATTTTGAACACGCAAAATTTAAAAAAAAAAATCCAAAATTTAAAAAAAGCTGTGATTTTTTTTTATCACCTTGCTCGTTGGTCATGTTTTGATAAGCTGCTGGGTTGAGGGCCCATGGCTGGGGCATATTGGGCATAGGGGCGTTGCCCATGGCCCTGAATCCAGGGTCTCCTGCTTTGTGGGGCCACATTTTTTCCAGGATCTGCACAAGATCAAAGAGAATTTTAAATCAAAGAAATAAAAAGAGCACCGCGCCTCCCTCCGCGTAGATCTGTCTCGACGATTGATTATTTTTTGCTCACCTCTCAACTCATCCCCAGAGCGAGATTTCGCCCGACGGATTGTGTTTGTTAGACAAAATAATTCGCACGTGTCGGCCAGTTGAATTTGCCGGTGCCGAGGGCGTTGGAAATGCAAAAGATTGATCTAGGAAAGTGCGTCAATCGAAATCAGCAAGGGTTGCACTCGGCAGGACGATGATGGCTTCGATAAGGCCGAAGTGGCGCCTCACGCCATCCGACGGCGATTCGCGAACTAATCAGCAAAACATGGACTCGACGGAGGTGCAGGAACTGTCAGACACCAGGAAATCGTACGCCGGCATTCCAGAAGCCCAATTTGTGGTAATTTAATTTTGCAGACTCAACCCTGAATATCAAATCTACAAATTAAACCCTAAATCATGGCCGGGTATTGCTTCAAATTAGATCAAACTGCGAGTTAAAAATGACCACATGTCATCAGCATCTCTCAAGTGGCCTTTCCTGTTCCACTTCTAATCAATAATTTGTCAGTGAATGAGTGTATTTTTATAAATAAATTCCAAATTTCATTATTTTTTATATTTAGGACACAAATACCTTCAAATAATCTTGATTTTACTCGTTACTTTTTAATAATACCCACATTAAACTGTCAGTTGCCGGTCAACGCCCTTTTTAACCAAAACCTTTAATCATTTCACTCATCAATGATTTGTCTAGGACGATGTTGACTCTTTTATGGCAAAGGAAGACAACAGCAACGTCCAGCAGGTTCTCAAGAGGCTGGACGAACAACACTCCAAATATAGGTTCATGGAAACCAATCTTCTAGCCAAAAAGAGAAGGTAAAATAATATCTAAATATGTCAGTTTTATGATGAACAAATATTTTATTTCAATTTTAGGCTGAAGATTCAAATACCAGACTTGGAGCAGTCGTTGAGCATGATCAAATTACTCAAGAAGCAAAGAGACGCCGGAGACCAGAAGGATTTGTCCACCAAGTTTTGCCTATCTGAGCAGGTCTACATGAAGGCAGCGATTCCTCCCACTGACAAAGTTTGCCTGTGGCTTGGTGTAAGTTGACTTGTCCTTTCATCTTAGATAAGTTGTAAAAATTTTAATTTATTTTAGGCGAATGTGATGTTAGAGTACACGCTGGACGGAGCTTCAGAACTCCTCACCAAAAATACTGAGGCAGCTAAGAGAAATCTCGGCTACATTGAGCATGATCTGAATTTTTTGAGGTATTATTCTTTCTTTGAAAAAAGTGGTACTTAAAAATTAACAAATTGAGCCAATTGAAATCATTGCTCTTTTATAAAAATTTAAATTGAAAATTGGCTTTATCTTCCAGTTGACTTTGATTTTTCAATTTGTATTTTAAATTTTTCTTGAACCTTTATGTTTGGTTCTGAAACTTAAATAATTTCCACTTGAAAGAAAGTAGTTTTGAATTAATGAATGAAAATATTGGATAAAAAATTCCAACTTAATATGTGCCGAAAACCCAGTTGAAATGAAATTTTAATTTTTTATTTGGTTTCAATCAATTTTATTTTCTAAATGGTTAATAATCCCTAAAGCTTATCACTATTCTTATTCATTTATCCAGAGATCAATTAACTACGACCGAGGTGAACATGGCCCGAGTCTTCAACTGGGACGTCAAGAAGAGGCAGGCTGGAAAACAAGCTTCATAGCAAACTCGTGTTTTTTCTCCTCTCGTCTGTATATAACCAAGAGGAACGTGCAGCAACGATTTTGTTCACTAATTCATTTTCTAAAAACTAAAACAATTCCGCAAGAAGTATTATTTATAACAACGCAATAACGCATCACAAAATCTGTCAAAATTAAACCAACTTACCCCAATAAATTACAAGATATTTGAGTTTCTTTTTTTGGTTGAGTAAAAATCAGCAGGTTGGCTAGAAAAATTCTTTTCTTTTTATTCGAATTTTACATTTATATAACTCCTCCATCACAAGAATGTACATAATTATTTTTAAGTCAGTCATTCATTATCAAATTCTCTCCTTTGTAATCTAAGAGATGATATTTTTTTCTCCATTATCTTCCGCATGGTTCCTAACTCCTTAAACTTAATCGGAGGTCTGGCATTTAACAATAAAAAATTACTCTCTATGAATCTTAACAGAATCATTACAGTAGTAGCCAAAACAGGAGAGTATACATACAGAGACAAATTATGTGTGAGTTGATTTACACGCTTAAAAGTATGTAGTGTGTGTGTGTTCCTCATATGAATGCTCACCACAAATATCATCGTCTGATATACATAATGATTTTTTTATGCTTTTTTTGGTACATTATTATTATTATTTCCCTTTCTGCTCAAAATCTACATAATATGGCCACGACGGAAAATATAAAAATGTGTGTAGTTTGCATGTGATCTTTTGATGTTGTTTTTAAACCGTTCAATTGATTTTATATTTTAATAACTATCACAGCTTAGCTCATTCATACAAAAAGAATCAAATCCCGTGTTAATCAGAGTTGGTGTACATACTCAAGCAGTAATAACAGGAGATTTCAATTTTTGTAATAAGGTACATTATGTTGAGCTAACCCTTCCTCCCTTGCACTCTCACGCTTCTGAAGGAACATTTCTGCAGTCAACATCCAAAATAGCTATTTTAAATTAGAGCCAATTCGTCTCTCGTGCAGTTAAGCATCTTTACTTCTTACAACAACAACTGTGTGTGTGTCTGTGTTTGTGTATTGTACTTGAGCTGGATTTTTGAAAGCCAGCGCTCAAATCAAAAGTCTCTTTTTCTGGAAGGGTTCACGCAACATGATTTTGTAATTTTTAGAAGTATTTCCATCTCTCTTTCTCTCTCTTTTGATGTATTTTTATATTTATGACAAGTAAAAAAGCATCTCTCTTGCATCACCACTGTCACAATAAATGGATTACTACAGATCGGTCACATGAACAAATCCAATGGAAGGTGAAAAGTTCAGCTCTCACAGTCTAGAAGTGGCTATTGTTACAAGCAGGCGCGTACTATTCGTTACACAGAGATGCAGCAGCAGTGATGTGACGAGAAAAGCGCACATTTCATTAAAAATAAATGACTCGACGTATGTTTTTTTTTTAAATTGTGTACGATAAGACCAGTTTCTCAAACCGGACCACAAATATATTACTTGATTTGCGTTCCCGCCACTCGAAACTCAGCAATTTTTTGGTGTACGTTTTTTTAGTCGAAAAGTTTGTCTCGAGTGAGCTGAGAACATGCAGAGTTTAGCAAAAAATCATCCAATTGAGGTAGAGCACTTTTCGCTTCTTAAAGACGGACATTTATATTTATCGTGTGTGTGTGTGATTCAATTCGTAAAAATAACACGTTGCTGCGTTACCAGCAACTATTGCTGTGTTAAGTTGAGGGGGAGACTAATAACTCGAATTTTCGTTCCAAGACACAGAGTCGACGATTTCTCACGTACTCAATCAATCGATTATCTACTTGTCACTGAAAAATTAGTTCGAGTACATAGATAATTATGTTGTTTTGTGTTTTTTTCTTTGTTTCATCTGCTAAATGCTACGAATTACTCGACAAGCTGGAGAGAAAAGTTTGGAGAGTACATTTTTTTCAGCAGAGCTCTATGTTACGATTAGGATCGATCGTTATTTGTAAACGGCATGCAGTTTCAGATTTCTCTCCAACTCCGATGCCAACAATCTTATTTTTGTTTTAACTAGTTTAGAGAAGGTGGAGCAGCACTGTTTTCGGTGCTGCATTAATAAATCAACTAAATGACAAACAAAAAAAGGGGGAAAACTGCGTTTTAGCTTGGGCGTGAAAAGCAGCTCAGAGCACAAAAATAATCATCCAGCTTTTATAAAACAATAGAAAATTATTTCAATTCATATTAATCCAACCTTATCTAAGAGAAAGAAATGCGACGCGTCAAAGGTTGACTCTTTTAACTGAGAGAAAGGCGGTGTTAAAGCAAAAATTTGGACCTAGCCGATGGGGGCGGGCGCGACGAAGCCAGCGTTCTCCTTGCTGAGGCTCTGGGCCCTCAGGATGCGGCGCTGCGCCAGTCCGGACTTACTGGGGTCGGCTAGTCCGAAGATCTCACTGTTGTGGGTCGCCTGCTGACGCGCCTGGGTCGCGCAGCTCAGGTGACTCATGTCCATGTTGAGGCTGAAGTGTTGCAGAACCACCCGGTTCACTTCCATGGCACTCTCAGCAAATGCAGACAACTCCTTGGCACTGTTGTTTCTGCACAAAAAAGTAGATATTAAATTTATTAATTAAATTCATAATAATTAATTTTAACACAATTTTACCAAAATATTTTCAACAAAATTTTTCTCTACTTCACCAAGTTAATAAAATTTATTTAAAATAAAAAATTAAATTAAAGCAATAAGAAAAAGTAATGATCTCAGCAAAAAGGGAATTGTAAATTAAATATCCAAAAAAGGAATTTTTAAATAACTTGTATTTTTTTTATTCTTACCTGCGAATGATCTGAGGGGTGGTAAGGGGAGCTGCATCCTCCCTGGGTCCATTGGCCACCCATGGGTGATGCAGAACAGATTCGGCTGACAGCCGCCGGCTAGCCTCCTTCACCAGCAACCCGCGAATCAAGTCTTTGGCTTCATCCGAGATGGAGCCCCATTCTCTCTCAGGGAAGTCGTACCTTCCCTCTTGAATACTTTCGAAAAGCAATTCCTGCAAAAGAAGAAGCCATTAGGACCAAGTCCAAGAGATTAAAAATTTATTTTGAAATTCTACCTGACAGCTTTCACAGGTTCCACCCTGCTCCCAACTGCAATCAGTTCCGCAGTGTCCGTAGAAGGGTGGATAGCCGCACAACAAGATGTAAGCAATAACTCCGAGAGACCATAAGTCACAGCGCTTGTCATAAGAGCAAGAGTCGCCCACAAAAGCTTCGACCACCTCCGGGGCCATGAACTCTGCACTTCCCACCTGAGGAAAAGTAGAATACAAAATTTAGAATTTTTTTTAAATTAAATTTTGTTTAGAATACTTACAGGAGTGAGCAGTTGAGGAGTGAGGACTGGAGATGAAAGATCAGCGTTGAATTTGATGCCTGACCCGAGGTCAAAGTCGCAGATCTTCACAGGGCACAGCTCGTCGCTGGAGACGCACAGGATGTTCTCCGGCTTGAGGTCGCGGTGAGCGATGCCCTTCTTGTGAAGGAAATTGAGGGCCGAGGCGAGGTCCTTGATGATCTGGCTCGCCTCCTTCTCCGTGAAGTGGACGTACTCCTGGATGCGGTTCAATAGCGGGCCGCCGTTCACCTTCTCGAAAACCAGGTAGAATCGCTCCTCCTCCTCGAAGAACTCGATCAGTTGGATGATGTTGGGGTGGCCGTGACAGTGGTGGAACGTCTCGACCTCTTTGAATACCCTCTGGCGACTGTGGCCAGGCACTTTCTCGATGATCTGTTGACAATTAATTTGTTTTTTAATTTTTGCAATTTATCAGAATTGATTTTTGAAATTACCTTCACTGCATACTCCATATCCGTCCAAACATTCACACACGTCTGCACCGAAGCATAAGCACCAGTACCCAGAATCTCTCCCGTCAGACGGTACATTTCTGGGAAAGTCGAGGCCATGAGGCTGGATGAGCATGTCCTCTTCTTCTTGCGCCTGGTAGCCTTAGCCTGCTCCTTGCGAGCCGCGATGTCTTGCATAAACACAACCTCACCTGCAACATATAAAAGCGGACTTTGAGCAAAAGTTTCAAACGCATAGAATTCGATTCTTGGCTGGTCTCCGAGTTCGAGAGACTATTTTCTAATTAGGGCAAGAATTTCGCGCCTCGGAGGAAAAAAAAAATCATTGGAAATAATAAACGCATATATTTCGTATATTTCGGTCCAATTGTGAACCTCGACCTTTGCATTATTTTATTCTCGCGACTTTGAAATTCGGAATTGGCACCAAACCAGAACACGTGCTCGTTTCATGCATTCATTTTATAATGAAACAAATCGGCAGCACTTTTAATTCACTGTGCATGCGAGGCGAGGAAGAAAGTCGATCGCTTGCTCGCGAGAGGTTCAGACACCGGTCGAAGACGTGGCGTGATGTGAAACCTTGCGAGCGCCCCAGATTGCGAGCGGTGTGTGTGCGACTCTGCTGCACCGAGTGTTGCATATTCACTCATTTTATATTATTTGGTGCAAGTACGCTCGGATTCGGCACAAGCGAGGTACAATCGTGAATAAATTGGTCGGATTTTGAGCGGGTTGCAGGCCCGCGGCTGGCCTTTGTATCAGAAGCTTCGAGAGAGCGCGGCTACTAGTTTCAACAGCGGTTTATTATAACTGCACCGCGGCCTGTTGAACTGACTGTGTTGGTTGGCAGTCGAAACAATTGGTCACCGTTCAATTTACACCGAACGCACAGTTAAAAGTGTATAAAATAATTTAATCCAAAGCCCAATTAATTAATTAATTAATTAAAAGCTTGTTCGCAAGTTTGAAAATAAAATAGATTTTGAACCAATGCCAAGGTTGAAATTGTCAAAATATTTTAATTTTCAAGGATATAACTAAAAATAAGCCTATGGTATTTTATATTCATGAATTGCCACGTTTATGAATAATTTTTTTTTCAATTTAATGAGAGCCAGTCTTGGCATGGTAATGCAGAGAAGTGGGTGGCTGCTGGGCGTCTCTTTTGTCTGAATGAGGACTGCAACTTTTCTTGCGCTAGATAATGTGAAAATCTCTCACCGCGTACGGTGCAGTTCCTTTTTTTTCAGGACTCGTAATCTGATTTGAATAACTTGAAAGTTTGTCTCTGGTTGAAAAAAAAACTCAGCTACCAAAAAAGATAAATTTGGCAATACTGGTTTTACCGGTTATCTTTCCAAACATTTATGACGTCAAACGATTGAAATAAATTTTTTCTATCCATTCCGAGCGTTTTTAGGCCGGCAACGCCGACCTGACTATAATTTATCTAGTCCAGGTGAGCAATACCTTAATTGTTACAAAACTTTTCCATTGCATTAGCGCGGCGGGTCATCAAACGGTCAGTGCACCTTTGCTGCAACTTGTATGGCGCGGTGCATGCCCGGCCTGCGTTATTAGCACGAGACGTACTTTTTCTTTTCGCACGCACTCCTTTGCATAACATTTGAAAAGTTTTGTTTTGAAATCACCTCGTCTTGTGTGTATATATGAGCGGGAGAAAGATCAATGAACTATATGTGTGTAGCGCCGCCGAGAGTGCGTCAAAAGGAGGCTGCGGGCTCGAACGATTCTCTCTCTCGAAAGCGCAGAGCAGAGGTTGTTGCCACCTTGATCCGAAGGCAGTCTCGACAAACTCTCTCGCGATATGGCGAATTTTGTGTAGCCGCCGGACCAGGAAGACGTCCGAATTCATTATTTATCTCTGTTTTCATTGGAATGAGTCACAATTAAGAGAAAAAAGCCTTCCCGGTCGCGCTCAAGGATGAGCAGTAAAGATTGCTACTCGGTAGTTGCGTTGGTTTGTTTCGTCAGCTTTTTATTCGCATCGGCGGCGTCAATTGAAATGAAATCACTTTACAAACTACGACGCCTTCTACGTAAGTGTAAAGTGATGTGACGATTGCACATTTATGGAAGTAGTTGTAACAAGACTTCAGTATAGATTCAGGTTCTACTCGTTTTACCCAATGGTGGGAAAAAAGGGTTAAAATCTTTAAAAAGGAACCGAGCAGTAAATTTAAAATTTTCGCTGTTTAAGAAATTGAAATAAAATATTAATAAATTGGCTTTGTATTTTTTGGTTTTGATAAATGATTTTCAAAAATGTAAGTAGAAGAACAATTTTTGAAGCTATTTAGGAGCCGATTTTTGCATATTCAAATGTGAAATAAATTGGTTTTATTTTTCTTTGAATTAAAATTTGTTAGAACAAATTTTAATTTCAATCTTATAGAACTCAAGTCTGAAATTTCCCTGAAATTTTTTTAAAGATAATTAGCGTAGAAAGAAATCTTTCTTTTATCATCAAAGCCCATAAAAAATTCAAACAGTCAAGATTTCCGAACTTGATGTCTCATTTTCCAAAGTTGATATTACATAGAAATTTCTCGGTTTCTACTCACACTCAGCATTCTTAACTTCCTCCAAGATTTTCTCGACCATTGTGACTGTCGGGGGGTGTTACTTGATGGCGTTCGAAGTCACAAATGCGAATCTTCCGCGTCCCAGTTATTAACTCGACTCCCTCGGGGACAGGTCCCGGACGCTACTCCTTGTCATTCACCGCAAAGGGTCTCAGGGATGACCACCCGAGTACCGTCTCGTCTCACTCCTGTAGTCCAACTGCTAGCTGGCACGTCCGCCAGCGCACTTTTATCAACTCGATTCCCCTCGATCCGACCCCAGCGCCAGCAGCAACAAACGACAGCCGCCTGCACGTCACCAGCAACAACACTCGCGGCTCCCCCCTCCCTCCTCCGCGACTCCCGCGGAGCATTATATATTTTTTTTCTGTTATTATTATTATTGCTTTTGATATATCAACGCCGACGAAACATGATAATCTGCTCGTCTTTCCGAGTGCGAAAAGAATCAAGCTGATTTCGTCAGATTTTTTTCAAGCCGAACCTTAAAGGGCGCCTCTCTGCAAATTTTGTGCGCAGTTTCCATCCGGGGCGTGCGGAGGGGTTCGCCCCATCACTTATTCGCAAACTTTTGCGAATTTGCAGCGACTCCCTTTCCAGCCAGAGCCGGTTTTCGCGCTCGGATGGCTCTGCGTGCAAATGCGGAAAAGGGAAGCGAGCGTCCCCCCAATCGATTTTGCGAGGGTAGTTTAATGCAGTCGGACGGGGGAGGATGTAATATAATCGTATAACCAGTTTTATGAGTTTTCGTCTTTGTTCGAATTTAAATTCGCTGAAATTCTCCAGGGATTCTTAGCTTGCATTAATGAAATTGATCCGTGGGGCATGAAGAGAGAGAATTTACGAGCTTCGAATTGGAAATTTGTAATTTGCCGCGGTTTTATAATGTTACGATTCCCACTGGTCAGTGACTCAACCGGCTCCATTAACACTTGCAGTGGTAATTAATACGGGGAAAATGATGCAATGGTCGTCGATCGTTTCTGGTGCGTGCCGAGTTGATCGTTATCACATGATAGCGTCAGGGCGTCTGATGATTTGAAAATTAAACATAATTCAGAAACATCTCGAAATGTCTAGAAATTTAAAATCTGTCTCATAGGTTTCCTGCTTTTGCTCGAGTCCTCCAGAATAATTAATTTTACTGTAAAATACATAAAAATAACCAAACACTTTGGAGGAGAGTTAAAGACGCAACAAATCTGCAAAGAAAAAGTCATTTTTTTAATTCAATTTTATTTTTATTATTTTACTTTTTCACACTGAATTTCAGAATAACTATTAGGATTGTTGTTAACTTGCCCAATTATTGAATAATTAATTATAATATTCTCTCTTGAAAGTATAAATTACCAAGTTGTAAGCCGATTAGCTTGTTGTTTTGGTTCTTATTCGGAAATATAATATTCGTCTCTAAACTCAGTTGTAAAAATTGAGCCGATTTATTTTAATACTACTTCAAGTTTTTGTTTTAATTTTCTTTAAGAACCCAAATAATGTGTCTGCATCTGGAATAAGAACAACAAAAACTCTAATTGCGTTATAAAAATTCTCATTTTCAAGAGCCCAATTATTTCTAATTGAAGAGCAGCGTTCTCGTACCTTCGTCTTCATACAAAAATCGTCTTATAGGATTGAAAAAAGTGTGATACGATTCGCGGAATCCACACAAAGAATTTCTTTCTTTCTTTCTATTTCCACTCGCAGAGTATTATTGAAAGCCGCGAGAAGAGCAACGACGCATTTCATTTCACGGCGCGCGACCCCTCGGCAATCGTATGCTCAAAAAAGTGCTGCGCAGTAAAAATTGAGGTAGGCACGCTTGCTTGCAACGCAGCCATGGTTCCTTCTTCCTACCGTAACGAAAAGTAGGGAGAATAGGCGAGAGCTTGCATAGAGTTCTCTGGAAAGGAAACAAGTCGAAGGGAAGCAGATTGCGCCTGCCAAACAGCACCTGCACCGAAAAAATGCGACGCCGAATAAAAATGTGTACACACGGCGCAGAGCCGTGAATATACACAAGTGGCGTTATCAAAGGGTGGAGCAGCATAATATTATATGGATAGGGTGGACCTTTCTCGAAACATGCAAGCGTTGATTTCGAGCATTATGAACATCTACCAACCTCTACATAAAGCAGCTGCAAGTGAGAAGAACTAAAAGAATCATTTTATTTTTAAATTTTTATTTTTGTCTAGAAATTTGGACTTATCAAATCTTTGTAAATTAATTTAAGAATTACGTACAAACATGAGGACAAATATTATTCGTTCCGTTGGAAATTTTGACACTTCATTTCTTTTTCAGGTCATTTCTTTTTCTAGCTCTGTTGGATTTATTTATTTTAATATTTATTTTTTTCGTACAATTAATAGTAAAAAAGCTATCATGCATATTCTAAAATTTCAAAACTAAATTGAAATCCCAGACTGACAAATATTATCAGTTGTAATCGGTGTAGTAACGTGCGTCATGTTTGTTGATCGGAGCACTACTCTTTAATCGGAAATCTGACTGCAAATAGGACAAACTTACAAGTACATATGACAAATAGACTCGTAAACAATTATACATTCAGCTGTGCACGTTTCCATTCGCACGCACGCTCAGTTTTTCGGGAGGCAAATAAAGATCCACATAGATATATTTGTGACAATTAGGCTGCGAGCCGAACGAAAACCGTGCCAAGATCGCCTGAGTGCATATAATGTGTGTTGGTCTCTTTTCAGCAAGGTAAATATTTACCACTCGGCCTATGGACTTTGCTGCAAGCCCCGCGCCGTCTCTCGAGAGTAGAATGTTATTATTTAATTAGGAGAAGGTTATGAAATATTTCTGCACACATGAAACGGACCTGCTTCAAATATATAGAGTGTTTTGCAACTGCAAAAAGTGCAAACACAAAAAAAGGGTATAATTATGTTGTGTGAGGCATGGTTAACGAAGAGGAACATTTTTGGGCGGTCTGTGAGAATGTTTTTAACATCCTCTTGTGAGATTTTCAACTGGACTGTATATAAACAATGTGTTAAGGTGTCTGTCAGTGTCTGTGAAAAAAATAAAACAGATAATAGTAAATAATGAATAAAAAAAATGTGATGAATAAATTTTTTAAATCATGAGTAATTGAGAAATATTAAAAACATATTCCCAAAATTAAATTTGATCTTTATAAAAGAACGCTATACATGTAAATTCCATGAGTTGAAAAAAAGGTTAAAAAAATAGTTTAAAATATTATTATAATTTACTTTTACCTGGTTTTATTCCTAGCAAATTTAGCAACAGTTGTGCAAAACTAAAACTATTTGATAATTATAGTAAAGTAATAAGATAAAAACTTAATCAGTTGTGATGGTATTTCCGATATATGTTTTCAATTTTTTCCTTCTCTTTTTTCAAGGTTTAAAAATAGAGAGCAAAGAGCACCAAAACAGATAAGTGTTGTTGCCGTGGCTGATATCACATGTCTATCCCAAATCGCCGTTTTGTGTATCAATAAGTAATCGGGTGAGGTTTATAAGAGCAAAGTATATAAAATACACCCTGTATAAGAGGGAAGGGTCACATGAACCACAAACGGACCAAAACAATGCACCGTTTTGATAACACTGCAGCGAGTGTAGAGAGAAGCGCAGGTCACGTGACTCTAATTGTGACGTAATAAGTATAAATTGATCGCGGGCGGTGATGCTGCAGACGGGCGCGGCGACCAAACTACGCCGCAGATTCCTCACGCAGGCCGGCCGGTTTGTTACATCAGCCGCGAATTTTTCAAAGAAAGAAAGAAAGAGAGAAAAAGGCGAGAAGAGAGCAGAGAGCAGAGAACCTTCCTTAATGGACCTGCTTAGCATGAATACATATCTGATGTGAAGTAACAATATAATCTCTCTCACGCCGAGAGTAACCTTGGAGCGCCCCTGCAAAACACACGGCACACGGTTTGCGGCGCAATAAGCGCGAGCATAGTGTAGAGCCGGCGCTTGGCTCGCATCAAGAAACTCAACTTTGGGGTTGTTGGCTCAAGCAGGCGCGCTACGTGCTCCGAGATGCGTGTTGAGAGTGTCCACATCACATATGCACCCGAGCTTGCATAAAACATTGCAGAGGGTGTCGGTTTTTCTCATCCTGTCAGCGATGAGTTTCAGATTTAACCGCGCCGACGGATAATCTTCTGTTGTTTGCTTTCCCAAGAACAAGTTGGTTTCCCGCCAAAGTGTCGCAAAAAGTATAAAATTTTAGTAATTCTAGAGCAGAAAGTCTTATTTGAATAACAATAATTTTAATTTTATTAAAAAGAAAAAATAAAGGAACTTTCAATTTTATTCAGAAATTAAAAAAAGGTTCTTGTTAATTGAAGACTCAATAAGTCGTATTCTTCAAGTTGTAATTAAATTTTACTTGTAGAATTGTAAACTACATGGAAAATAATTCATAAAAAAATAGTAAAAAGGTGCATACAATTGTTCCAGAAATTTAAAGTTTCCAAGATTCATTGTTAGAATGACTTTTGGAGAAAAAATTTTTTTTTACCAGTCGACATGCATATTATTTTTTTTTTGCAGATAGAGAGACGAGATCACGAAACTGCTGCTTTGGTTTATTGACACCTTTGAGGAAAATTGCTGGCAAGGGGAATACCTCGCTGTACCATAAACTGGGCAAACCTGATCTCGTTTTTTGGATTTTCCCAAATGGATCGCGTGTACGCGCACGTGACGGTCAAGAGCAAGGTCAGCAGGGTTTGCAAGAACGAAGGCGTGCTGCCTTTTTGGCCAATCAAATTGTTGCTCTGAATTATGACCTGTCCAGTTTTATTGCCAATTCAAACACACCATGGTGTCCCTGATTTGCTTTTTATTAAAGCGTTCAATTTAATTTTAAATAAGGTTTTGGTAATATGTAGGAAGTAATTTAGGAGAAAAATTTATTATTATTAGAGCTACGAGACTGCAATTAGATACTTTTTTTTTTAAATACTTTATTTAGAAGAAACTGAATAAAAATAATTGTTTATTTTAAACATCAGTATTTGCTTAATGATAAAACCACTCATCGGATAAAACTATTTAAGTGGTCATTGAGTGTTTATAAACAAAACAAAAACCACAACATGCCACTTCGTTTTTTCATTAATTAATTCCAGAGCAAACAAAGTTTTATCAACGGATTTCCCTTCGAGCTATATGTGTACTTTAAAAGGATACAAACAA